AACCCCAAAGCAATAAAGGGGGAGAATTATATAGAGATGAGAAAGAGATCATGATAAGAGGAAAGTGGAGTGAGTGTCTCCGAGCTGGCCCGGTTGTATAATAAACCCCTTTTAACCATCGCTTCTATTGTGGGCAACAAAAAGGCAAACAAGGGAAACTGTTCTTGCCCAAAGGTTCAACTGTGTTTTTGAAACGAGATCGCAATGAGGAAAAGTTGAGAGACTTATTGATTGGATAAATGAAAAAAAAATAGCATTCTCAAGTGAAAAATAAGGAAAAAGGGTAGGAAGTTGCATGAGGATTTAATTAAAAAAATGCCCGCAATAGTGATGAGTGATGAATTTAAGGCCAGCAAAGGTTGGTTTGGGATTTAAGAAGCGTAGTGGATACATAGTTGATAAGGCGGTGAGGCTGCCCCGTTGGACCACAAAGCGCTGAAAAATATGTGCAGGAATTCAAGGAGTACAAAAACAGTGAAGGAGAAACCTGAAAAGTGTTTGTGATGAAACAGGCCGTTTTTGGGAAAAAATGCCAAGAGGACCCACTTATCAGGGGGAAAAGGCCCCTCCCAGGCTAACTATGAAAGACAGGCTTTCTCTGTTTAGTGTTCCAATGTAGTGGTGATTGCAAAATGAAACCTTTATTAGTGTATCATCAGAAACTCCCAGAGGTTTTGGAAAAGAATATCCTCAGGCTAATTTGTGTTGCTGTGGAGGGCAAACAGTAAGGCATGGGGCACTGGGACTTTTTCTATGATGGTTACACCAGCATTTTCCCCGAATGGAAAGATTCCTAATGAAAAAAAAATTAACCCCAAGTGCCCCTGGTGTTAGACAATGCCCTGGTCTCCTAAGACAGCAGAGAACTTTTTGGGGACATAGCTTCATTAAGGTGAAAATTTTTGCCTCCCTTTCCCACTCCCCTCCCGCAGCCCCGGACCCGAGGTTATTGCAAACTTCAAAAAAAATGTACACAAAAGCCTTTTTTGAAAGGGCTTTGTAGTGACCCCAGAAATCAACTGACCCAAGAGATTTTTGGAGGAGCACTTTAATATCCTCAATTTTGTAACCTTTTTGGGAAGGCTTGGGAGGGGGGATAAGAGGGCCTTGAACTCTGTTGGGAAAAAACTGTGGCCAGAATGTGTAGACCCCAAAAGGGGTTTTGAAGGGTTTTTAGGCTAACCCTGAGGAAGTTGCCCGTTTGGGAAACCCCTTGTGGCATTGGGAAAATCCTTGGGGTTGGAGGGTTTGTGGGGATGATGTGGAAGAGTTGGTGGAGGAGGACAATGAAGAACTAACCACTGATGAGTGTGATAACTTCAAAAGCAAGAGGCCGACCTGGGAAAAGGGTTTGGAGGAGGGGAGGGGGAGAAATTGAAGAAGTTTTCCATCAAAGATTAAGGAAAAATTTTGCCCAAGTGGCTGAAAGTGCAAACCCTTTTTGGATGAAAATCACCCTCCACAGCTATTGCAAACCGTGCTGGTGACTATTACATGACAATGTTGTGAAACCTTTAGGGAAGTCATAAAGGACGAGAAGTACAGGCCACTATGGGCAGATATGTTGTGCGACAGAAGTCCCGTGATCTGAAGCTGGTCCCAGTGGCATTAAAAAAAGAAGGGAAGTAACCCCCCGAAAAGAATTGAAATTAAGTCTTAATGGAAGGGGGTTCCCCTTCTAAACCTAAGACTCTTCCCCTCCCATCCCATCAATTTATACCCAATCTTCAAAAAAGGAAGTGTCATGTAATTGTGCATCCTTTTTCAGTTTGTGTGTATTAAAATTTAAAATTTCTGCCCAGTAAAAATTTTTTTTTCTACTTTGGGGTCTTCACGGATTATTTGTTTCCTTATTTTTTATGGGCAAAAATTCTTTTGATAAACGTAAATTTTGCATAACAATGAGCTCTCAGGAACAATTAAAATCGTTATGCGGGGTCCCTGTATTTTTTGGGGGTTTAATTGTTATGTTATAACATTTAGCTAGAGATATCAACAAGATGAAAAAAGTTTTATTACCCTTATAAATTTTCATACCATCTGCAAACCATTGATGGGCACATTTGTCCACTAAGCCATTTGAGGTTGTAGCCATGCAGCTGCAGGCTTAGAATGGGTTATTGATCTCTCGTTGTCCCGCCACTGGGTACCATTTCGTTTCTGGAACTGATGTCAAAAATGTGACATCCGTTTGTCATGCCCCCGAAATAAAAAGTGTCATTGGCGAAAGGCTTTCACCTCCCTTGGAGTGCCCCGCGTCGAACTTGGATATGTTTGCTTTCGACGACTGTGCCACAACGCTGTCAAGTTCCCCTCGCAAGAAATCATGAGGTAAGGGGGCTTGTGTACCCGTTATCAGTAAATAACATAGCCCCTTACCAAGTTTGGTTCCATCATTGTTTTAACAATCACCAGAGATACCCAATAATTTGGATCTCTCAAAGTACTATGCCAGTGTACAAAATGATATTCAAAACTGACACTTCTGCAATAAAAAAAGTAAAATAGCTTTATACCCCAAACGCTTCCTCTTGCTTGGTATATATTGCTTGAATGAGATCTTCCTTTGAAAAAAAATAAGGATCATCAAAAAACAAAATTCCCGAAGGGATAAAAAATACATGCGCACTTTTGTTTCAGGTACTAAACAATTTCTGACTTATATAACCTGTCGCCCCCCCTTTGTCAGGCTGGGTTTTGTTAAAAGTGTAACATTAACAGTATCAGGAAACGATTGAAAATAAATGTCACTAAAACCCCGGAGTTGAAAACAGGCGTTCTGTTGCCCAGTATGTGGTGACAGTGGCTTATACAATGTGGGTAAACATTATTGTGGGAAAAAAAAAGGACATTCGCCACAGCTGTCTCCTTCCCCTTGTGAGCCTGATTTTGGTGAGAGAATTTTATTTGCCATGGGGTAATCACAGTATGTGTTTGTTTCCCTGAATGGTGTCCATCAGGGGTTTTCAAAAAAAACTCAAAGCAGTCATTCACTGGCATTGTTCCCCAAGTGGACAAGATGGCTTTATTCCCCTTTGTGTTTCATCAAAGTCTGGGGACTGGGAAAAAAATCGCAATCCTTCCCAAACCCAGAGCGGTTGTGGTGGGGTCTGGAAATTTTTACCGGGGGTTATGGTTGCGCAGGTTGTGGTGGTCAGGTTTTGGGAGTGTGGGGTAGGGTGAGGCTGGTTTTTTGTGCAGAGTCAGCAGCGTGGGTGTTTGCGTGGCCCCCCTGATGGTGCCCCATGGGCCCTCCACCCTCACTATCACCCCACTGCCTGATCACACTAAATCATATACCCCTTGTTTCAATTCGTCATTCACATCAGGGCGTGGTGTAGGGCCAGGGATGTGCTCCCGATTTCTCCCCCCTTGGAACAACTTTTTGAAACCTACCAGACCCCATGCTACGTCGACTAGCCGTTCCTGGGGAATACTCACTTCACTGTCACTAGAACTGCTTTTTTAAAGACCTTGAAATCATATCCTGCTAACATTGGGGGTTTGTACATGACCAAAAAGTTTCTCTTTCGTCTGGTACAAGCGAATGTGAAAAGTGAACAAGCCGGCCCCGCACCAGGGTGGAAGGTTGTGGGTCATCTGGGTTTTCATATAAATTTCGTTTCCGGGGACTTTTTCCCGGTAACACTCACTTCAAAACCCCGGAATTTATGTCATGAAATTTTCATCGCTGTTGACTTCACTTCGGAACAAAAAACCTCCCAAACTGCCCCAGGAGTGAGGAACTTTTACCGAGAGGCCCTGGTGAAAAAGGACTAACAACATGGCGTTCCCCCAATGCACCTGGGTCCCCAAATTTTTTTTCCCGGGGGCACATCGACCACTGAGACCCATTCTCTTTGTGGCCTACCAGGCCCCTTTTGCGCTTGATTTGAACCGCAGAATTTGGCGTATAAATACGTCAAAAACATTTGGCTGTTAAAAACGTAATTTTTAGTCGGAAACAGTCAAAGGGTTAATATTAAAAATAATAATAAAAATAATAAAATAAAAAAAATAAATAATTAAAATTTTTATTATTTTTTTTTTATTGTAAAAAGCACTTAACCCCCAAAAATGTGAATTTTATATATGAGTAAAGGCATCGAAAAGAAATTTTTTACGTTATCCCCCCGTTTGATAGAGAAAAGTAATTTTCGCACTCTTACACAGCGCTTTGTAAAAAATCTCGTATTTATACAATTTTTATTTGTGAGGGGGTATTTTTTGTTTATATGCAGTAATGGGTTTCTATATAATTTTGAGGAAAAAAAATATAATGGATTAATGAAAATTCCTATATTGATGTAAAATAAGAAATTAGTGTGCCCAAGAGTGATTATTATTATGTGTATTGGATATGAGTAGAGAGGATTAGCAAAATTTTAAAGTGTAGTGCATACCAGACAGTGTGTAAGTATTTAGGTACAGGTAACCCTAAATATAAATTATCGAGTACATATAAAATTTGCAGAATTTTAAAACACTTGAAATTTTGGAAAATTTCCTGAATAATGATTTTTGGGCCGGAAAAAAGTAAACAAAAGGGTTGGGGGGCGCGTTTTGAAAAACCGCTTGCTGTATAGCAAATTTTGGTCATAATTTGACATCGCCGTATTTGCGGAACGCCGTAAAATGGGGCCTTACTGTATTAAAAACAATTATTAAGACAAAGTCTTGGATGATTTTTATTACCCACAGCTCATATTTTTTTTGATTGGTGTGTAAACATTTCATATATCATCCCTTTTTTGCTCATGCTATTTCCCTTTTTTAAAGCAAGGCATATGAATGTTTTCCAAAAACAATTTTCACATACTAGCTCTTTTAATTTCCCTTCTCTTTGTTCCACTGCTAAACTTCCTATTCTTCAACACCTTGTTTTGTGCTTTAATAATTAATCAGTCAAGCAAAACAAAAATATAAAATAAAAACATACTTGGGACCTCGGGATAAAAAATGTGGTCAGGGGTTTCCCAAAAATCCACCCAAAATTGCACCCAATGATGATGCCAGTTACGAAAGAGCAACAGCATGGGCTCAGATATACGTAGGTGACCCCACTCTGCAGTATTGTCCCCGGTCCACACTGAAGAAGAACGTTGGGTGCCGGCATAGTGAGCCGGGGTCAAGAGAATGGCCCTTTAAAAGACCATTGTTGGCAAAAGTCTTATTGTACCTTGATGTGATGAAATCATTTAAAAATTAACCCTTTTTACTTAAATAAATATGAAAGCCTAAACATTATACATTTTAACACATATACTACCTATCTTCTAACTTATAGAATAATACTGTTGTGAAGATAATCTGCCTGTTTATATTCTTCAACATTACAGTGAATTTAATTTTTATAAAATAACATTACTAAATTTAAAAAGAGAAACTTTCGTTTTTCTTTTTGGGCTACCCTGCCTCAGTGGGATACGGCCGTTTGTTGAAAGAAAAAGAAACATACACAGTAAATACAGAGCAATAGTACTATTAGATCAGCCTCAAGAAATAAATGGTGACCATAAAGAATACAAATAATGGTTTGATACTATCTTCCAACATAGTTACTGTATGAAAATGTAAAAAACCATGACAAAAAATTTTACATACTGTATTTTTTTCTGCTTTTTTTTTTATGACAGTTAAATGGTAAAAAAGCAAATACATTAATAATATTTAAATTTAAAAAATAGGAACATCTTATGAAGTGATGCGGGAAAAAGGTCGAGGACCCGAGCCTAGAGGTGGGAAAAAAACATACTTGTACTTGAAGGAAGGTTGGGGGGAATTTGCAGTTTGGAGGGGGATCGAGCGTAGTTCTGCATGGGCCCCTTTGGAAAAAATAATAAAGGAATGATGATGAAAATGTTTTTTTTGGAGGGGGGAAGGGGAGGGGAGAGGGGATAGTCACCTACCTTTTGGGAGATGGCCAGTGTGTTAAAAATCCATGAAAGGGGGGAAAGGTACCTAGAAATTGTTTGGAGCAGTCTAAGTCCTTTGTATATGGAAAAAAAAAGGGATAAATGAGTGTAAGAATTAATATAAAGGAATAAGTCTGATGGTTTAGGTGAAAGGTTTTGGTTTGACAGCAACCCCCCCCAGGGAGGTACTACCGTCCGGGGAAGTGAGTGTTTTAAAAGAAAGCCCCTAATGTTTTACATGTGGTAGGATTGTGGTGCCTTTTTTCTGTCTATGAACATGCAAGTTTTCAGGTAGTCTTGCTACTTTTCTTACACTTAGGTACATTCCATAATGTACAAGCCCAAAATTACACACCCCTTTTGGGTTTTCTTTATTTTCTTTTAGTTTTATTCTTTTTTATTTCCTTATTCTCCTGGGGAAGTGAACAGAATTCTTCTTCGTAAGCAATTTCTTTTTTAAAAGGCGACTAAAATGCCCGGGACAAGGGGCTAGTAACCTCTTCTTGTATATATTACAAATTTTAAAGGGGGAAAATTTGTTTTTCTTTTGGGCCCCCCCGCCTCGGTGGGATGCGGCCGGTGTTTGAAAGAAAGAAGTTGATGGTTGCTAGGAAAATTTTAAAGGTAAGAGGTAGGTTGCAGAGACCAAAATGTGTGGTATATGTGACATTAGATCAAGTCAAGGGCTTTTTTTTTACATTTATGATTTTGAAAAGGCATATGAGGGTGGTAGGGAAAACGCAAAAAGAGTTGCAATGTAAGGAATAGGTGGTAGGTTATTAAGAGCATGAATGGGATAACAAAATTTTTGCTAATACAGTGGACCCCCGGTTAACGAACTTTTTCCATTCCAGTAGTATGTTCAGGTGCCAGTACTGACCGAATTTTTTCCCATAAGGAATATTGTGAAGTAGATTAGTCCATTTCAGACCCCAAGACATACACGTATAGAAACCACTTACAAAATTGCACTTACAGAATATGGTCGGCATTTGAGAGGATCGGTAAGCAGATGTCCACTGTACTGTACTGGCACTCTATTTCTGGCTGATACTAATACCATCAAAAATAGCCAAAACCCACCAATATTGATGCTTTAGCTCATCCTTAAAAAAAAAAAAAAATATTCATACCACACATTTTCCTCAAACATGACATCTCCAATGCCTTCATCCTCATCCTCCCTGCATCATCTGAAACCCATGCATCACAACCATGTAAGCGATGATACAACAATACACTGGTACAGTGCTCTTTTTCCCCACTAGTCTATTTTATGATTCACCTCATCTTTTATAGATCATCATCCAAACATCTGAGCACATTTACTACCTTGATACTCCCTCTCTCCAATCTGATACTCACTCTTTAATTGCCTGGATTTTTTGTTACTCTCATCACTTTTCTCTTTCTAATGTTCACTTTTAATTTCCTTCTTTCACATATTTCCCAAATTCCTCCACCTACCTTTTGCAATTTAATTTCAGAATCTCCTACAAGAACCATTTCATCATCAAAGAGCAAATATGACATCTTCCACTTCATGTCAAATTCGCTATCACCCTGCCTCATTGGAAGACGGCTAGTGCTACAATTTTTTTAACACGTCGGCCGTTTCGCACTGAGGTAGGGTGACCCAAAAAATAAACTTTCACCATCATTTGCACATAAGCCTGATAATTAATTATTTACAGAAGTTACAACCATGTGCTATGTCAACTTACAAAGAGCATTCCATAGACATTATGAATTTCCCGATGCTCAACACCTAGACCTGGATGAATGTTGTCTTTTTGCATTGTGACTTCTGGACCATTAAACACTGATGGTTCATTCATATCATTCCAAATGAAGGTATCTAAAGTTGAACCCTGAAATAAATTAATATTAAAAAAAAAAAGTCAGTATCACAGATAAAAATAGAAGACATTAAGCTACATGACAGCTGGGCTGGGGATACTTGGCACTATGTATATAAGACGTGTGTGCAACATTAGTAAGCTTAATTAGGACGCATTTTGCCCACCAGTGGCATTGCTAATTCAATATAAATTCAATGAATTGATGAAACATGTCCTTATTAAAGTGTCCTAACATTGTAATATAATATATCTGTCTGTATAATATGCCTTTGTGTTACTCAGCACCATTGAAAAGAGCAACTAACATAAAAGTTTCTAGCCTAAATAATAAATTATTGAAACTATGTCAAAGTGGTGAAAACTAATGGTATAGAAGATTGAAGTAAACTTGAAACACAGTAGATGAAATCATTATTATTGCTCAATTTTACACTTTAAAAGATGCAAATGCAATAACAGTTTAAAGTTAATCAAAGTATAAGCCAACCATTTGTATCACTTCCTACACACGATACTTTATCACCACAAACTAAATACCACACGAGTACATTACCCACAGCAAAATTTCCTCAATTTTATTCACAGTATTTTAATCTTACATAAATACTGCCCAGGGAGGTACTACCGTCCTGCCAAGTGAGTGTGAAACAAAAGGCTGTAATTGTTTTACATGATGGTAGGATTGCTGGTGTCTTTTGTCTGTCTCATAAACATGCAAGATTTCAGGTACGTTTTGCTACTTCTACTTACACTTAGGTCACACTACACATACATGTACAAACATATATATACACACACACCCCTCTGGGTTTTCTGCTATTTTGTTTCTAGTTCTTGTTCTTGTTTATTTCCTCTTATCTCCATGGGGAAGTGGAACAGAATTCTTCCTCCGTCAGCCATGCGTGTCGTAAGAGGCGACTGAAATGCCGGGAGCAAGGGGCTAGTAACCCCTTCTCCTGTATATATTACTAAATTTGAAAGGAGAAACTTTCGTTTTTCCTTTTGGGCCACCCCGCCTCGGTGGGATACGGCCGGTGTGTTAAAAGAAAGAAAGATAAATACTGCCAACAATTTTAATACTTCCATAGAAAACAGCTGCCACAGTCCTGCCTATTGTCTTTTGAATCACTGTTAAAATACCTACACACACCCCTTTCACACTAAGGAATGGCATGTTAACTATTTTAATATGAAACAGCTAACAATGTTACAACAAATTTATCTCCTAGTCAAGTATATAGAGTATATGAACATTTTTTTAACTGGGTGCAATAGCACAGAGATGTCTGAATGCTATTTAAATGTTCAATGTTAAAATTTAACAAATTTCAAATCACTTTAAACCTTTTAGAAAACAAAGTATCAAACAAAATTTTTATACAACTCTGAAAACATCAAAGGATTAAGTTTTGGTGGTATCTACATAATATTACAGATATCTGTGATTTTCCAATGACAATAATATAGAAAAATTCTGGCTTGCACAAAGATTTCATGAATAAATTTATACCTCTTATGAATGCCACATAACAGAAAAATATGCATGTTAAGCCACTTCCATCTATCACCAAGTCTTACACCAAAACTATGCAAATCAAGACGTATGAACAAGCTGCAGCAACAAGATCCAATAATTCCCATATCTGTATGGTATCCTTAAAAGATAATCTAAATTACGAATCAGAAGTGCTGTATATAATACTGTATTTCATTCTAAAGCTACAATCTTTAACTGCATAATTTTCAAACTGTCCATAAAATTTAGAAAAATAAAAATGAAATTAAAGCTCTGTTAAATATCAAGGCCCATTCCTCACCTTGTAACGGTCCAGCATGAACGTGTCACTATAATGGTTACGAGTTTCTGGATTGGTCAAGTCAAGGTATGATGACGACCCTGGCCAGCACCAACCTAATATATAAATTTTACAGAGATAAATGAATATATCACACACACACTTATCTTTAAAAAACAGACATGACTGATGGTACAAAATATTTAGGTACTGTATACAGGACATGGAATATAAAGGATAACAAAATGCCAGAGTTGAAAGGCACAGGTTGGGAGAGGGAGTAAAAGGAGCGAGGAAAGGAAAGTACAGTGGAACCTTGACTTATCAGTTTCATCCGTTCCGTGACCTAGCTCGTAACTCAATTTGCTCGTATATGAAATCAATTTTAGTCATTTAAATTAAATGAAATGCCATTAATCCATTCCAGAGGAATTCCTGCTCTCAAGAGGAAGGACAAAATACTTCAATATAACGCTAATATCAACTCTACGACTTATTTATCTATCACAAGTGATCTACTATGACATAAACAATGTAAATAATATAGAAACATGATATATACTTTAGAATGAATAAAATATGTCATTATGTGACGAGTGGTGGCGACCATTGCCGCTGCCGCACTGACCATATCTTCCCATTCTTCCCCTTCTGAAAACGGAGTGTTTGTGAGGCTATCTGCACTAGATCACTAATTTCATAAGGAAAACACTGAAACTATGTACAGTATTTATAAATAAGAAATATTGCATAAAAACAATAAAACATAATAGAGAATGTAAAGAAATAAACTGGTTTTATAAAGTGTATGTATGCTGGCGGAGGTGGAGGGTGGAAGGTAGGCTACTTGCTACATTCTTATTGCTACACTTTATCGCTGAACTTAATTGCTACACTTTTAATGCGATGCAGTACCAGCATAGTAGCAAAATGTACTATGCTTGTACTACCTCACAAACAACCCACACACCTCACACCTTGCTTGTGTTTATCAATTTTTTCATGCTTTAATTCCATGGACATTATACTCTTTTTCTTCTCAGCACTGTTCTTTGCACTTACTTTCTTATGACCCATAGTTAGAAAAAAAAATTTGGCAAAATAACTACACAAAATGCAAGCAAAACACTAGAGAAATGATTCCATGGCAAGATAAACAGTGCACTGCACCAGTTGGCATGTTCTGAAGCTCCTAGTTATTATTACTATTACAGTATTAATAATTTAGGGAACTGAAGCACGCTCGTTATTATTATTATTAATTTAGGGAACTGGAGCACAGATCCAATTCCTTAGATCAAGAGCCCCTCACCGGCATCAAGGAACCAAGACACTTGTGAGGGGCTCTTGATCTAGGGAATTGGATCTGTGCTCCAGTTCCCTACCTGGAGGTTATTCCAGGGATCAATGCCCCTGCGGCCCGGTCCATGACCAGGCCTCTCGGTGGATCAGTGCCTGATCAACCAGGCTGTTACTGCTGGCCACATGTAGTCCAACGTACGAACCACAGCCCAGCTGATCCGGCACTGACTTTAGGTATCTGTCCAGCTCCCTCTTGAAGGCAGCCAGGGGCCTATTGGTAATTCTCCTTATGCTTGGTGGGAGGCTGGTGAGCAGTCTTGGGCCCCGGACAGTTATGGTGTTTTCTCTTAGTGTACCAATGGTGTCCCTACTTTTAATTGGGGTATTTTGCATCGCCTGCACACAGAAATCACTTCCTACTTTCGTAGGGAGTGATTTCTGAGTGCAGATTCGGGACCATTCCTTCTAGGATTTTCCAAGTGTAGATTATGATATATCTCTCTCTCCTGCGTTCCAACGAGTACAAGTCAAGTGCTTCCGAGCGTTCCCAGTAGTTCGGGTGCTTGGTAGAACTTGTACGTACAGTAAAGGTTCTCTGTACACTCTCTAGATCTGCAATTTCACCTCCTTTGAACGGAGATGTTAATGTATAGCAGTATTCCAGCCTAGAGAGGACAAGTGATTTGAAAAGGATCATCAATGGCTTGGCATCTCTCGTTTTGAACGTTCTCATTATCCATCCTATCATTTTCTTTGCACTTGTGATCGTGGCACTGTTGTGATCTTTGAAAGTGAGATCCTCAGACATTACTACTCCCAGGTCCCTTACATTATTTTTCCGCTCTATTGTATGGCCAGAGTTTGTAGTATACTCTGTTCTAGTTATTATCTCCTCCAGTTTTTCATAACGGAGTAGTTGGAATTTGTCCTCATTGAACATCATATTGTAGTTTGCAAATAGTTCATTAATTTTGTGACTTTAGTTACTGAATTTAGTTACTGTTCTGAGCTTCAGAACACCACCTACTGGCGCAGTGCACTGTTTACCTTTCTGTGGAAGCATTTCTCTAATGTTTTGCTTGCATTTTGTGTAGTTATTTTGCCAAATTTCTTTTTTCTAACCATGGGTCCTAAGAAAGTAAGTGCAAAGAACAGTGCTGAGAAGAGAGAGGATGATGTCCATGGAATTAAAGCATGAAATCATAGATAAACACAAGTGAGGTGTGAGGGTTGAGGGGGAAGCTCCTTGTAACTCGGATTTTGGCTCATAACTTGGAGCAAAAAATTGACCATGTGACGGCTTGTATCTTGAAAAACTCATATGTTGGGGCACTTGTAAGTAGAGGTTCCACTGTAATTTTCTCTTTTGAATATCTGGAGACTGACTGATAGTAGGTTAGTAAGGAAGATACATGAAAGCAAAGTGCAGAGTTGATAACCTACTTCTTGGAAATCATAACTGAAAGATTATTTAATTAAGGGAAAGGACCCATGCTAGCTAAGAGATACAGTATAAAGAAGATAAGAGCCACCCATAATGAAGGGTACCCAGGGAGATTTTCAGGAATTCATTAGCATCGTAAATGGGGACCTATTTAATTAATCTATTTTAGATACAGTACATTTTATTTAAATTTGGGTATTTTTATTTGACATACATCACATGAACTGTCAGGAGCATATACCTAGTTGATGTATGGGACTTTTTAATTACCATACACAATGTTCATATCTTTACGTTCAATTAGCTTGCATTATTATCGTTCTATTTTGGGTAAGTGTTAAGCCAATAGGGGTCACACAGTACCCGGGGAATGGAAGGCAATCAGGTTCAAGCCAAGGAAGGGTAGGACAAGTCCAATTCCTCGGATCAAAAAGCCCTTCACCAGCATCAAGAAGCCTACCTTCAAACTTATTCAATCTCTATATATTTTTTTTAGTTATTACATAATTAAAATTTACTCATACAAGTTTATACAGACCAGTCATTCAGTACCTAAATATAAATGCTGTACTATAATAAAATTCTTTAACCTCATTATCCTTTTACCTTCTAGAAAGGATGAGAGAAATAAATTCCATCACCCCCCCCACCCCACTTTTATTGGTGTTCACTCAACAGTAAGAAAAAATTCTAATAGTATTTTACCATCAAATTCAGTTCCATCTTTTGTATGAACGAAGAGGTCACGGTCACGGTTCTCCTTGTAGAAGAAATAATTGGTATCACGTTTAATGTGTACATCAACAATGGTGACCAGTTTACGACCACGTGCAGTCAGGTTGGCTGTCATCTCCAGAGGGTGTGAGAATTTATTGTGATCCCAGGTGAAGTACCTAACAAAAAAAAAAATGAACATACTGTATATAAATATTTTATCATTAATAAAGAGTAAAAAAATCTTCCTTTTCAGAAATTCCAATCACTATACTGTACTACATGTAAAGTAATACACAGGAACAAGTACATGGTGAAACTAGGAATTTATCAATAAAGCAGTCTACCTAAATACTATCAAATATTATGTTAGTGGGCTTAAGACCCAAATTTAAACCAGACATGATACTAAATTGTTGTGACACTTGAGTGTGGTAGTAAATTTTAAGTGCTACTGAACAGCAATTACCCTAATTTCCTCTATTTTCCTTTTTGATAAATGGGTGTCTTACATTCTCGTATGAAAATAAAAATATTAAAAGACTAAAGAATAAAATAGCAATTAAGAAATGAAAAGCGGGTAAATCAATCCATGATAAAGTACTTGAAAAGACCTTATATGACGCTGTTAATGCTTTCTCATACCATAGATAAACCCTTATCAACACTCTACATAGGTTATATTTACCTTAACAAACATACCTTTTCCCATCGGTGTGCTCAATATCAAGCCAAAGAACATCCATTGGCAAATCATGGTTGTCAAAATTTTCATGAACCTGATGAACATCTTCTTCATCATTGTAATTCCAACGGCACTGATGATATCCCAGGCTGAACAGCTAAAGGAAAAAAAAATTCAAGAAATTAATTTAAAACTAACAAGTAATGAGTGCAAGTTTTACACTAAGATATACTACAGCTTATACCATATCTTAACTACAATTTTCTTTGTCTCGTGTATGTGAGTGTACCGTATTTTACGGTGAACAAGATGTTACAGTGTTGAGGATGCGCCACCCCCCTCCTTCCAATTCTGACTGGCTATTTGTGAAAAAAAAAAAAAAAAAAAAAAAAAAAAAGGCACTTTGGCTTTCAAGATGCTGGGTAAATTTTCGAGACTTATTTTTGGAAAAAAAAAAAAATAAAAAAAAAAGCATCTTTAATGCCATAAAATACGTTAATTCCACTATTCACTAAATTCATTCAGCAATCGGTAACTACCCCAATGTGTACATACTCATCTCCCCTTATCTTTCATTACACTAATTTATTTTAATATCTCATTCACTGCACCTGCCCTTTGACTTTTTAGCCCTTATACACACTATACATCTTCATCCTTTCCTTGTGCATTTACTAACATCAGTGCCTTAACTTCAGTACATTTCTGCTTCCTTTTTTTTTTTCAACAAGTCGGCCGTCTCCCACTGAGGCAGGGTGACCCAAAAGGAAAATACTTTCATCATTATTCAACACTTTCACCTCACTCACACAATCACTGTTTTTGCAGAGGTGCCCAGTATACAACAGTTTAGAAGCATATACTTATAAAAATACACAATATATCCCTCCAAACTGCCAATATCTCAAACCCCTCCTTTAGAGTGCAGGCATTGTAATTCCCATTTCCAGGACTCAAGTCTGGCTATATAAAAATAACCAGTTTCCCTGAATCCCTTCACTAAATATTACCCTGCTCACACTCCAACAGCTCGTCAGGTCCCAAATACTATTTGTCTCCGCTCACTCCTACCTAGCACACTTGCTGGAAGTCCAAACCCCTCGCCCACAACACCACCTTTACCCCCTCCCTCCAACCTTTTCGAAGACGACCCCTACCCCGCCTTCCTTGCCCTACAGATTTATACGCTCTCCATGTCATTCTACTTTGATCCATTCTCTCTAAATGACCAAACCACCTCAACAAACCCTCTTCAGCCCTCTGACTAATACTTTTATTAACTCCACACCTTCTCCTAATTTCCACACTCCGAATTTTCTACATAATATTTACACCACACATTGCCCTTAGACAGGACATCTCCACTGCCTCCAACCGCCTCCTCGCTGCAGCATTTACAACCCAAGCTTCACACCCAAATAAGTGTGTTGGTACTACTATACTTTCATACATTCCCTTCTTTGCCTCCATAGATAACATTTTTTGCCTCCACATATACCTCAATGCACCACTCACCTATTTTCTTTCATCAATTCTGTGATTAACCTCAACACTCTCAAATAACCCGCACATAAAAGACAGAAGCTTACGACGACGTTTCGGTCCGACTTGGACCATTGACAAAGTCAAGACTTTGTCAATGGTCCAAGTCGGACCGAAACGTCGTCGTAAGCTTCTGTCTTTTATGTGCGGGTTATTTGAGTATCGTTCCAGTCACGGTATTGTGCCTTTTTGTTATTTAATTATTTATTAACCTCAACCATAATAAATCCATCCGCTGACACGTCAACTCCCAAATATCTGAAAACATTCACTTCTTCCATACTCCTCCTCCTTTTTTTTTAACACACTGAAATAGGATGGCCCAAAGAAGAGGACACATTCATCATTGTTCATTTAATTCACAATCTAAAAGAATAAAATACAGTGGACCCCCGCATAACGATCACCTCCCAATGCGACCAATTATGTAAGTGTATTTATGTAAGTGCGTTTGTACGTGTATGTTTGGGGGTCTGAAATGGACTAATCTACTTCACAATATTCCTTAAGGGAACAAATTCGGTCAGTACTGGCACCTGAACATACTTCTGGAATGAAAAAATATCGTTAACCGGGGGTCCACTGTATTCACAAAATATTTGGAAAAAAAAAAAATTATTTTGTTCTTATGAAATTATAGAATCTTTCCCTGATGGTAAGGACACCAAAAGTATGAAATTTGATGGAAAACTTATGGAATTACGCTCTTACAAAGTTAATGATCTCGGCGATAAATACGCATCAGCGATTTCGCTCACTTTGAGCCCTATTTTCGGCCAATTCCAGTGCTCCAATCGACCAAACTCTTAGCTATTTCTTTAGAACTCCATTTATTCTATTGATTGAGTACAAGAAACTGCCCATTTACTGATTTCAACTACCCAATAAAGTGGTCAGAAATTTGCAATTTGACCAATTTCACACAAATTAAAAAAGATGCCAATTTCAAAACAGAGTCCAGAATAAACAATGCAGACAATCCTGGCACTAAAATAACATTTTATCTGTTCATTAGTCACATCTCCAGGCCCCTCTTATATTACTCTTGCTTTCTATTCACAAAAAACAGAAGATTTACTATTATGCAGACTACTGCACTATTGTAAAAATGGTATAAATAATATCAGTGCACTTGTGAAAGAATATCGGACTCGCCAGTTGATGTGTATTGGACACATGGCGTGATTTGTTTACTCTCGAACATTGGCAAAAATTGAACATATCCACTACTTTAAGCTCAACTTCAAGGTCGTTTTCATTGTGAAACTAATCAAAATCATCTCCATTTCTGTAATGTCTTCCATTCTATCAAATGAGACCAAAAAAACGAGAATATAACCATAAATACTACGTGAAAATACACCTCAAATTTGGTGTTTCAATCCAAAAACACGGTCAGAGGTTTTTTTCTCATTATGCACCGTGTGCTGCAGGATTTTTTTTTTATACTGTGCACACTGACTACATAGACCCTTTCTCTCACATGTGGGCCTACCAGCTTTCTCCTGCTCGATTTGAAGCTGTTAGAATTTAGGCGTATTGATACGTCAGAAACACTGGCTTGTAAGATGCATATACGTATACGGCCAAAACAATCAAAAGGTTAATGAGGAATAAACATACGTATTTAAGACCAAATTTCAATGGAAGGTTGAATATTGAGCGACTTTCAAAATTTTTCAGTGAGCATGCCTTTCATTAATGCTCTCACAGTAGTGGCCCCCAAAATTAATTGTACCGAGTGTCAGGATTTTTCAAAAGTAGAAAAAAAAAATTTACCTTCTGCAATTACTATGCTTCATTTAGAGAAAACTAAAAAATTCTGAAAATTACATAAAAAATCTGCATTCAATGAATTCTGCTAATATACACAAAATGACAAGTGATAATTATAAAAGAAATGAAGAACTGTACATTGTCAAGCATTCAAAATTGCTTTCAATACATAGATTTTGTATTACAATTACCGGAGGAAGATTATTATATCCAGTCAGAGCTCCATACTGCCTGAACACATCCATAGGACGTGGCCCAAGCATGATAAACAGGTCTATAATACCAGACTCGGAGAACCAGTGAGTAGACACTTGGGGAGGATCAGAGTCGCCACCAGAGAAGAAGCCAGTAATAGATGACACTACATTACTGTCTGGTAATTTCTGCCAAAAAGAAGAAGGAAATTTAAAATCAGTAGTAGATTACTTATTAGGAAAGGACATGTACAACGGACCCCAATACAATGAAATTTAGTTACAACATTGTGGACATACTGCAGTTACATATTGTATACCAGAATGTACTGCGTATGTGCTACATAAAAAGAACATTCACAGGCTTTAATTATTAGATAATATACATGAACAGTATAACAAAATTCAGACTCTTCGAACATTACAAAAAAAATTCAGTGCCTTCATGAACGGTATAACAAAATTCATTGGCAAATATTGAACAGTTACCAAATTACTGAAAATTTCTACAAGTGATATCTCTTATAAGCGGTTGATTAATACAAAGCCAGCTACAGTAACTAAATTCACAAAATTAATGAACTATTTGCAAACTACAAACCCAGAGATAACCTCTATTCTTTACCTTAATATCAACCCAGGTCTCTGCAGCATTATGCCAAAACACTGCAGCACTCTGGTGAGGAGTATGTGATATCATCACAGGGACAGACCCATACAGAGCCATGGGATTGTCCAACTCGTATTCAAAAACATCTAGGTTGTAAAGGCGGTATGGCTCAGTTGATCTGAAACATACACAAATGTTGCCGTTCAGAGAGCAGCATTAAGCCCGAGTGTTACACATAAAAGCAATTAATTTGTTAAAAATAGACAGTATTCTCTTTTTATCCTGTTCACTGTTTAGAACAATATATTGAGAGCCATATGCTACATCAAAACACTACCTTATTTTCACCTGAAGTATTTTAAAGAACACAATTTTTTAAACATTGGTACATCACACTATTGAAAAACCATGTTTCAACAATACTGTACATGACAAGGAATTAAGTAGAACAATATAAATACACCTACCATCCGACTTACGACCGAGTTCGGTTCCGAGAAACCGGTCGTAAGTCGAAATGGTCGTAAGTCGAATTTTACTACTGAATATCAACAAAACATTTTTGTAATGACTATTTTATTGTTTTATTTGGTATTTCATGTTTTACTTTACTTTTTATGCTGTTAGTACTGTATTTTATACAGTACTAACACAACACAAATAGTTGTGTACAACACAAATAGTTGTTTATTTCCCAGAAATTTGGCATAAAAAACACGGTCGTAAGTCGAGTGGTCGTAAGTCGAGCAGGTCATAAGTCGGATGGTAGGTGTACATACTGAGCATTACTTATGTTTAGCATATTCTCAGGCTTAAAACATTTTTTTTCTCTCTTCTATATTCATCTTTCCAGTTTAACTTACAAAATTGCAATACAGCAATTTAATTATTATGCTGACTAATTTATGAGCAATAACAACCATGCTAGCTGTCAGTGCTCTGCTATTGGGAGCACATGTGTTCTCCAGTCTAACCCAACTCTTAAAACAAAAGAAAACGACTTGCTGGATATGAGGATTTGTATATACATTCAGACATAATTAAAATAATATATCAATTAAATTCTTTATTACTGTACTTACGTAGTTTCCTTCAAAGAAAAGGAATCTGCATGTTCAGGGATCCCATATACATGCTTTGAGTTGATGAAGGAGATGTCCATGCCCACAGAAGCAGGACCATGAGGCTTTGAATCCGAGTGGCCCTTAAAACTCTCCTCCCAAAGTCCATCGGACGCATCTTCCTCTTGCAATGGTGGTGCATTTCCATGATCTTCTCCTTCAGCAGGTTGTACATCACTAGAAAGAACAAATTCTCTTCAAGCAACCATTCTGATTAATTTTTTTTTAAGAGCCAATTAAGTTCACTAAATGAAAATAATTGTTAGAAAAAATTATCCTTACTTCTTAGTAAACAGTTAGCCAAGTGGTTAAAATACCAGCACTTGATTTAGCAGCAGTAGGTCAGCACCACTTCTAGAGTAGTGTATGCAAAAGAAAGGGACATCTCAACACACTTCCAATTGATTTATTATTTGGCAAGAATAACAGCAGCTTAGGTAAAGCAACATGTGTGCAACTAATAAGACATATACTGCCACTAAGCTGGCCAGCACTGCAAGCAACAACCTGGTTGATCTGACAGTCAAGGAAATCTGACCACAATCCTGGCATCTGGAGCAAAACTCTTGAAATTAGACACAGTTACAGGGAAAAGAATACTTTAAACCATTAAGGAAAGCATCTGAAAACTTACCTCTCTGGTTTGTTGCGGTAATGTTCAAATTTAAGAAGTCCACGAGCATTAGTGCTAACCACAAGCTCTTTCCCATTATAAACATCAATCTTCAGTGGTTTTGCTTTTATAATTGCCCGGATTTTGCCAAACTTCACAGTAAACCCATCTGACGAGCGATCAATTACTGCAAACCTGTTTGATAAATAGAAAGAAATTTACGAGAATCATATAATGACATCTGTTTTAATTAACAGAAGTACATAGTATAATTTCATTAATCTCACATTAATCACTACCTAGATCTGAAATACTGGTAGGAAGAAAAGTAAATAAATAGAGAAGAGTATAAGGAAATTCTCCCCCCCCCCCTCCACAGCAGCCATTTCTCAACAAGTAGGGTGACCCCAAAGAAAGAAGCTTTCACAATCACTCATTTAGTTGAAATATCACACATCATAATTCAAATGGCCATCACACTGAATTTCTCACCTCCAGAACACCAAAACTCAAGTGTTAATTGGCTAAAGGTTAATAACTAGAGTGCCATATAATTAATGATAACCTATTGTCCAACAGTATAAACTTTTAATAATTCCAAGACTGACAATACACACTGCACAGTACTTACGTTTCAGATTGACCATCACCAGTTAAGGCATAAGGCTCTTCAAAACGTTGTTTAATTGGATTCTTTTCATTTATCTTAAGACGAAGAGTATTATCTTTTAAAGGGTATATTTCCAGGGTGAAGAATACCCTGTTTATCTCATTCAACACATCTCCAAATATTCCCTCTTCTGTTACAATCACAGTGTCAGTAAGAAGAAGATACGGACTCTCTCCAGGCTTAATAGAACGGTGACGTCTGAAGAAAAGACAGAAGCATTAAGAGTACAGTATTTTACCTTTAAATATGATCCATTTACATAATATTAAGAATGTAGAAAATACATACATGCATTGACTGTTGGCATCATTTGCATTAAAGTGCAATAATAATAATAATCATATAATCAAACTAAGTGTTAAACTAGGAACAGTCATATAGCTATACAGTCCAATAACCCCTGGGTTACAAAAATACATTTATTTATTTATTTATTTATTAATTTGAACATGATTCCCGAGAAGTACAAAGGAATACAGTTATTAAAGTGCAACATGCCATCATTTTTTTTATTCTGCAGATAGAGTATCTATTTTGTAAAAAAAAAAAATATATAATTAACAGTTGAATAGCATTTGATGCAATTCTAAGAATAATGACAGTGGAATGATATATGATGTAGAAATAAAATTTAGCAGAGGGTAGCAAGATGATTGTGTTTCCCAAAATGAAAATTTTGTGACCAGATAAAAACACAATCAAGGTTGGCTATTTCCTAGTCAAATATAGTGTTAACTGTGAAGAATTGCTAAACCAGTAAGGAAGGGGGGGTCATACAGCACATGGGGAATGGGAGGCAATCAAGTTCAGTCCAAGGAAGAGAGGTCCACTTTCTAGGATCAACAGCCTCTCAGTGGCATCAAGGCACCTTCCTTGAGGGGTAACCATGAAAGAAAAGTCATGCTCTAAAATAAGCAATTTATTGGGATGTTTTGCAGTGTAGAACCTGATCACATCAAAACATTCCAATAACAGCTTATTCTCCAACTTGTCTTTTCTTTATTATTGTTGGCAGTATACCAAGTGTATCTACATCTTCAAGCTAGTTTAATCAGATTACTTTTTTTAGTCTTTCCATCTTAGTACTGTAGTAGTATCCAAATGCTACATTTAAGGAATTTTACTAAATAATCTGTTTAGTTCTTAAGTAGTCTTTAAGCATTAGGATTAGTGTGTTCATAATGCATTGCATACCAGTGGCTTTCTATTTTGTCTATTAATATTTTATTACATGTAAACAACATTATCAGTGAACTGCATAAAAGAAATAAAAATCCAAATTTGAATTTGTATAAAGATACGGTATTTTATATATAAACAATGTAAAGCCTCTGATCATGCTTTACACTTGAAAGTTATTTATGTATTACATTTAATTATTTAGCATTATGTCCACTAATGTGACATTCTTAACATAAACTAATGTAAACTACTAAACTAACCTGCAAAACCCACTCTGCTGACATGTTTTGAAGTTGCTTTTGTCAACTGTACTGACCAGTGTCAACAATACTGCTGCAGCTATAAACCTGAAAAAATAAATGTATGTACAGTATAAAAATACAGTACCAATACTGGTATACATTAGATAAACTAGTGTCAATAATACTGTTGCAGCAATAAACCTGAAAAAATAATAGTAACAATTCCAATATGTGTGTGTGTGTGTGTGTGCACATGCATATTTGTATGTATATTATAATACAATATTACACACATGCACACACACATTATCATAGTTCCTTGATAATGCGAGAAGTCACGAAAGTGCTTGGAATTTCACTATTCTTTCACTGTGGTTGTTTTACATACATATACATACAGTATATAAACTAGTGTCTTGTATTACCAAATTCACCAAGCATGCTCAATGGCATATCAGTTCATCACAAATATTAGGATCATTCTTTCACTAAGATGGATGCTGAAATGTCAAGAATTCTGAAGTATCCACAACCTGAAGGGAGATTATTATAATCAAGGGGAAGCACTAAACCCATAGGATTATACAATGCCTGGGGGGGGGATGTGGAAGGCATTCAGGCTTAATTTGGGGAACTGGAGCACTGATCCAATTCCCTAAATCAAGAGCCCCTCACCAACATCAAGGAACCTTCCCTGAGGGGACCTGAAGGGAGAGAGGGGTTCAAGAGGGAAAATATGTAAATATAGAATACTACATAGATGTGAATGGGTAAATCCCACATGGATGAAAAATCAGCAAGTTAGACGGGAGCTACATATTTTGGATTCTGTCAGACAATCTTCAGCAGATGACTGACCAAGGCTGAAATACATATGTAGTACTGTACTGCTGTGTAAACTCTCAATTTAATGGATTAATATGGAGTGTCCATTATAACAGATACTTAATAATAATTATTATAATCAAAACCAAGCTCTAGGAGGGTTAATAATCCAATGAATAGTAGTAGTTTGGCTTATTTCCACTGTGTCCTCTTCAAGATCCTCCCCCAGGATGCAACCCACAACAGTCAGCCAATTCCTTAGTACCTATTTGCTAATATTCAACAAGGGTAGCAGGAGTCAGGAGACCTGCACTGTACATGTATATCCACACCTCAGCCTCTGCATTATTATTATAATCAATGGCAAGTACTAAGTCCATAGGATTATACAGCACCTGTGAGGGGTGGATTGGAAGGTATTCAGGCTTAATTCAGGGAACTGGAGTACAGATCCAATTCCCTAGATCGAGAGCCCTTCACCAATATCAAGGAACCTCCGTTGATGGGCCATCCTCTGCATGCATCGACCTGAGATGCCACTGGTTCAGGGAATTATTATAATCAAAAAGCGCTAAGCCACAAGGGCTATACAGCTGGCTCAGGGAAACAACGCCTAGTTTCTACTGGGCACCCAGAGTTGTGTGTAGTCTTACTTGATGGGTATAGCACCATGTACAATACTTTAACTTGCTGCTAGCATTGGGGATTATTATTATGGTCATAAGTAAATGCTAAACCCACAAGAGTCATAAAGTACTGCAAGGTTTGGGAATAGAGGTGTACTGGTTTGAGTTATTTCTGGCCTGAGATAAAATGTTTGAGAGCAATTTCACTTGTTCTGCAGATTAAGTATAACCCACTGTACTGGAACACATTTTATCCATTTTTTATGGGAAGTGCAAAAGTATGCACTAAACCTGTATGGGCCATATAGTATAAATTATAGTGCCTCGGGAATGGCAGATTAAGTAAGTTTATTTAGGCACAGGTATACACAAGTACAATTATCATACAGTGTAAATTTCCTAGGATAACCCAAATACGAGGGCAGCTCCAACTCCCTGGAATAAGAGTCATTCACTAGCACAAGGGAATCTTCTGGAGATATTCAGGTAGGTATACAAAAATAATTTCACAAATTATATAAATTTAGTCAAATTTGTTAAGCCTTCATTTTGTTAAGGGATGTTACATATTCCCTTAACCACTATCTATATACATTTAAATTAAAATAATTACTATCAGAATATTGTATAAGCTGAACATAATAAGGCCCAATATTTTGAGCCCAGGATAAACAAAGACTTGTCGGGCTCATCTGAATTTACCATCCACACGTTTCGCACAGAGCTAAACATCGTCCGATGTGGGTAAAAACCACAATCGTGCACCTATTAACAAAGCTGGAGGCTGAGTCTTCATCATCACACTAACAACCAATTTGCCCCCAACTGTCTGTCCTAGTAAAGACATTCTTACTGCCGGTAATGCTTGCCAACCATCACACACACCTGACTCCCACAAAGAGCAACGATGCCAGAAACCCACCAGAGTTAACCTGCCCAAGGAAGACCCACACAGCAAGTGAAGAGCGTAAAAAAAAAAAGCAAGTGAAGAGCGTGAAAAAAAAAATCAAATGATATTAGATGGAAGTAATGTAAAACACCCACCTCAGGAGCGTGGCCATGGTGTTGTTATTTGGACGACGCTGATTGGTCCACACCGCCACCTCCACAACCTTCCACATCTCTCAGATTTATTCATAGCTTCTGAATTTGGGATTCTTTTTTTTTTATTAAAATGTAAATTATTTGTTATTATCATCATATGGAGTATTAAACCCATAGGGATTGTACAGCGCTAGTTGGTGGGGGTGGGGGGGAGAAGGGATGGAAGGAATTCAGGCTTAATTCATGGAATTGGTGCACAGATCCAGTGCCCTAGATCAAGAGCCCTCTCATCAGCATCAAGGAACGTCCCTGGAGGGGATTAAAATATAATAATGCAAATTATGATATCTTCAAAAAACAAAAAGTAGCTTTCTATAAAGAGTAGTATGTCAAGCAACAATCTCTAGTTGCAACAGACTTCTACCATTACTACTGCACTTGCAGCTTTATATGTTTAATGCCTATGAAATTATTACTATTATATACATAGTGAAGAGCTAAACATGTAAGGGTCAAATAACATTTGGGAATGGAAAGTAATTAGGTTCGATCTAGGAAAATCCTAGGTCCATTTCCTGGGATCAACAACCCCTTATTAACATCAAGGAACCACCACCGAGGGGGTATTCTATAAAAAACGCAATTTTTTATTAAATTTATATTAGCATGCTTTCTTGAAGTCGACAGTTAGATATGTCTTGTGTAATATACCAAAGACTCCATATACAGTTAAGGTCATGACTTACGGCACCTACTCATGAGGGGCGTAAGTTTTAATTGAAATTGAATCTCACTAGCTTTAGTGAATGGTCACGTATGATTTTGTTGCTAGGTACGTCAGAGCTGGGAAAATCACAAGTCATCATGCATCATCAATGTGTAGAGAAAAATGCTGTATATACGAGCTACTGCAGATGCGCACATTCACCTGTTCAGTGTACTTGGAGTCACTTCTGTGCACCGTCCCCTGGGCCTGGTCCCACACCTGGCATGATTGATCAAGCTGTTAGTGCCTGCCACCCGCACTCTAACTTATGCACTATAACCCAGCTGATAAGGAACTCTTTTCGGGAATCTGTAAAGTTTCCTCTTGAAGACAATATAATAATCAAAATTAAGCGCTAAACCCACCGATTGAAGACGGCTGGGATTTGTTGGTAATCCCCCCTTATACATGAATAGAGGGTGTTGAAAGTCGTGGTCTCTTAACACTTACTGAGTTCTCTGTGTACTCATTGCTCCCTGCATTGGAGGTATCCTGCCAACCTCTCGTGTCCATAAGTAGTAATTTTGGTATGCAGGTTTGGGACTAATCACTAGTATCTTCCAGTTGTAGGTTATGTATCTTTCTGAACTACATTCTAAGAAGTGGTTCTAGGGACTTCAAGCACTCCTAGTAATTTAGGTGCTCGAGTTTATACAAGCTGTAAAGATTCTCTATAGTATTTCCAGCTTAAATCTCTAGAGATTAAAATATTTTCTTAATACAAAATAATTACATTTTATTAAGAACTTAATCTTCTTATTTTGATTAAATAATAATAATAATTATTAATGAACCTTGTGGTCATTGTTTTTTGACCTATTTCGCAGTCTTAAGAGCTGGTATCATACCTCAGCTCATTGCAAAGCCCAGCACTAAGGTAAAGTACAACTCCTTAGGATGCAATCCACAGCAGGAGACCAACTCCTATATACCAACAGAAGTGACGATGGGCAGCACATTTAAGAATTGACCCGGCTGGTGGCTAAAGCTCCCGCTTCACACACGGAGGGCCCGGGTTCGATTCCCGGGGGGTGGAAACATTTCAACACGTTTCCTTACACCTGTTGTCCTGTTCACCTAGCAGCAAATAGGTACCTGGGTGTTAGTCGACTGGTGTGGGTTGCATCCTGGGGAACAAGATTAAGGACCCCAATGGAAATAAGTTACAGTCCTTGATGACGCACTGATTTTCTTGGGTTATCCTGGGTGGCTAACCCCCCGGGGTTAAAAATCCGAACGAAATCTTATCTTATCTCTTACAGTATTACATCACAGATGGCTCAGAAATTGAACTTGTGGCTCTGGTGGCCTGGTGGCTAACGCTCTCGCTTCACACAGCGAGGGTCTGGGTTCGATTCCCAGCCAGAGTAGAAACATTGGACGTGTTTCTTTCCACCTGTTGTCTATGTTCCCCATCAGTAAAATGGGTACCTGGGTGTTAGTCGACTGGTGTGGGTCGCATCCCGGGACACTGACCTAATTTGCCCGAAATGCAGAGCATAACAAGGGAGTTTCTATATAGTAGTATGTCATTGTTGTCAGCTAGGACTGTATACCTTGTACATGTACTTGTAGTAAATAAAGGTATTATTATTATTATTATTATTCTGTTGAGCTGAACTCTTAGCTACCACTGAGTTACAGGATTATTTTTTACATTTAAGAGGAAGTGCTAAATTCACAGGGGGCATAGAGGTGATGAGGTGATGCAGGGCCTCATGCAATAAATAACGTGTTATAAAGCAACAGGCTACTCTATGGATACACCCACTTCCTGTATTATTTGGGCTATTTAATAATTATCATGGGGAAGCACAAAAACCCACATGGCTATGTATTATTATATTCATGAGGAAGAATATTATTACATTCACAGGGATAGCTAAATCCATAGAGGTTTAGTTTATACATGGGAGGCATTCAGGTTTGATCCAAGAAAGAGGATCACAAGTCCAATTCCTTCCACCAAGAGCCCCTTACCAGCATCAAAAACCCCATAAGGGGTCATACAATGCCTGGGAATGGGAGGTACAGTAATCAGTCATGACAAGGAAAATAAGTTTGACTTCTACTGATTTCTTGTCAAAGCTTTATTTATGAATCCTACCAACATTATCAACAAGCTGTTAGAGGTGGGAATGGATCTTTTTTGCTGACAACTACTTTTCGGTGAGCATGGGAAATGTAACCCTTCATGCGCCCATCATTAATCATATTGGCCAGTATGCACTCCGTTTCATCATGGTCGACATCCTCAACACACATCCACTTCAAAGATTGCAAGAAAAGGGAAACCTCAATCTGATGAGAACCAGTGATGAGAAAACTGTTGGAAAAAAAAAAGCACAAAGTAGTCTTCAGTCATTTTAAAACACTAAATACACATTATTCTTTACATTAAAAAGACAATTATATTTTTTATTTGATGCCATTTTCAATAACGTAACTATCTTAATTTACAGTCAACTGTATAATACACTTTGACAATGAATCAACATTCACAACAAAAAGCAATGCTCAATGAATAGGTTTAAACTATTACTGTATATTCATTCTAGAGCATATCAGCCAATATTACTCACACTTTCTTGAAGAGATTTCTGAAGGCCAAGATTTTCAGCTTCTCAAGAATAAGATAAATTCCAGCTCCAATGAAAAAACTCTCATGTTTTACTAATGTTTCTGAGAGGAGACGTACATTTCCCTGGCGAACAGATGTTACCACATCATAAAACTCAGGCAGGTTGAATCTCTCCAATACAGACTGTTTGGGTAAGTATCCCTGAAATTGGAAATATATAAAACATTTACCACAACGCTATATTACATTAAACATTTAGTCATATGTGATGGTGGGTTTTATTTTTCTAATTTATCCCCCCATTTTCCTTTTTTTTAAGTTTCCTATTAGCCTTGGTAATCCCAGATGCATGTATTTTCATGCCTCACAGATGGCAGAAAATCACTGTTTTTTCTGCATCAGCAATTAACATATGCAACATTTTCACATTATTATTATTATAATCAAAAAGAAACGCTAAGCCACAAGGGCTATGCAGCGCTGCAGGGTAGGGAAGGAAGTGAGAGTATTGGGTGGTAGAAGGGGGGAGGGATGATCAGTAGGTTACAGAAAACAGCAGGGCAGGGGATAGTGCGGGGGTAGAGGGCAGCAAGAGATTGAGGTAGAAAGGGCTGAAGGTATCATCAGAGTTTGTGAAGTCAGTTGTTGTCAAAAAGTCAATGAGAGAGTCCGGATGAAAGGTGGGTCCATCAGCGAGAAGTAAAGGTAAAGAGAGCAGCAGAGCGAAGACAACGTTGGAGGTATATTGTGTGTGCTCGTTGATAAAGTGGGCAGTCTAATAGAATGTGGCTAACCGATATTATTATTATTATAATCAACAAGAAGCGCTAAGCCACAAGGGCTATACAGCGCTGCAGGGTAGGGAAGGAAGCGAGGTTATTGGATGGCAGAAGGGAGGAGGGATGATCAGTAGGTTACAGAAAACAGCAGGGCAGGGGATAGTACGGGGGTAGAGGGTAGCAAGAGATTGAAGTAGAAAGGGCTGAAGGTATCAGAATTTGTGAAGTCAGTTGTTGTCAAAAAGTCAATGAGAGTGTCCGGATGAAAGGTAGGTCCATCAGCGAGAAGGGAAGGTAAAGAGAGAGCAGCGGAGCGAAGACGACGACGGAGGTAAATTCTGCGTGCTCGTTGATAAAGTGGGCAGTCCAACAGAATGTGGCTAACCGATAATGGAACCTGACAATTCTCACAGAGAGGAGCAGGGCACCTCTCCATGAGATAACCATGAGTAAGACGAGTATGGCCAATGCAAAGACGGGAGAGAGTAGTCTCCCAACCTCGACACTGGTGACAAGAAGACGGCCAGTAACCTATACTCGGTTTAATAGATTGGAGTTTGTTACCGAGCAGAGTAGACCAACGTTGTTGCCAACGGGTGTGAAGGTGGGTAGCTATTGCAGCAAAATAGTCCGTAAATGGAACACCTCTATATGAAACTGGTAGGTCATGTACTGCTGACCGTGCAGCAGTGTCTGCCTGTTCATTGCCCTGTACGTCAACATGACCAGGGACCCAACAAAAAACAATATCTTCATGCTTGGAAGAGATGCAGTGTAGCCAAAGTTGGATATGGAGGACTAAGGGGTGAGGTGTATCAAATTTCTGTATAGCCTGTAAAGCACTAAGGGAGTCTGAGACAACCACAAATGATGACACAGGCATAGATGCAATATGGATAAGTGCTGCAAGAATGGCATACAATTCAGCAGTAAAGATACTAGCTGAAGATAGTAAATGCCCTCGTACGACGCTGTCCGGAAACACTGCTGCAAATCCTACGCCATCAGAAGACTTAGAGCCATCTGTGTACACTGCAATGGCATGAGAATGAGAGTGGAAGTGGTCAAGAAAAAGAGAGTGGGAAGCTACAGTAGACAGTTGGGCTTTCAAGCAAGGGAGTGAGAAGGAACAGACTCAAACAGCTGGAACTTCCCAGGGGGGTAGGGAAAATGGAGATGCTACATGAACATAGAGAGGTGGTAATTGAAGAGTAGACAAGAGCGAATGTAGGCGAAGAGAGAAGGGACAGAGCAAACAAGGGCGGCGAACAAATAAAGAATGTCTACTAATAACGGTGACCATTCTATAGATGGAAGGATTGCGGAGATCATGAGAGCGTACATAGTAGCGAAGGCAATGGGCATCACGGCGATCGGATAAGGATAGAATGTTTGCTTCTGCATAGAGGCTCTCAACAGGGAAAGAGCGAAAAGCACCAAGGCATAAACGTAATCCTTAGTGATGAATGGGGTTAAGGCTAGAGAGAGTAGCAGAAGAGGCCGCTGAATAGATCTGGTCACCATAATCAAGTTTTGATAAAATGAGGGCGGAATGTAGGCGAAGGAGAGTTCGACGATCAGCTCCCCATGAAAGATGAGCAAGGGTTTTAAGAAGGTTCAGCTGGCTGTGACAAGTTGCCTTCAGAGAGGTAATGTGAGGTTTCCAGGATAACCTACGGTCAAAAAGGCAGCCTAGAAACCTGACTGTATCACATTCAGGGATACGGGAGCCATAGAGGTACAAAGGATGATCGGAGATGACAGAGCGTCTAGTGAAAGTAATTTGATGAGTTTTGGTACTGGAAAATTTAAACCCATGTGTGGTGGCCCAATTGGAAACACGGTCGACCGCATGCTGAAGAGAAACAGTAATAAGGTGACAGTCAGCGCCTGCACATGCAATAGCAAAGTCATCAACATAGAGTGATGACCAAATATTGGATGGAAGACTAGAGGCCAAATCATTTATAGCAAGGAGAAAAAGTGTTGTGCTCAGAACACATCCCTGGGGGATACCTTCAGCTTGGATAAAGTCCGGGGAGAGCACATTATTAACCAGAACACGGAAATATCTGTCAGTTAAAAAGTTCTTAAGGAAGGATGGTAGATTGCCTCGAAGGCCTAAGGAGTGGGCTTGGCCAAAATATTATACCTCCAAGTTGTGTCATATGCCTTCTCAAGGTCAAAAAATATGGCAATAACTGAGTGGTTATTCGCAAAGGCATTACAAACATAGTATCCAAGCGTAGTAAGGGGTCTACGGTAGAACGGCCTTTATGAAAGCCATATTGACGAGTGGAGAGACTGTTGTGTGTCTCTAAATACCACACTAAACGTCTATTTACCAGGCGTTCCATCACTTTGCAAACTGCACTGTAAGAGCAATGGGACGATAGTGAGAGGCTTCATGTCCAGTAGTACCCGGTTTGCGGAAAGGGAGAACAATGGCAGATTTCCACAGCTATGGAAGAACTTCCTGTGACCAAATAAGATTGAAAAGGTGTAATAGGACTGCAAGGGCTGACTGATGTAAATGTTGTAGCATATGAATATGAATGTCGTCGGGCCCAGCTGCCGATGATCGGCAAGCTGAGAGTGTTGCCTCCAGTTCCTGAAGTGTAAAAGGCACATTATACTGTTCTTCTCTGAGAGAAGAAAAGTCCAAAAGTGCTAACTCTCTGGCAGACTTTGAGGAAAGAAATGAGGGGCATAGATGGAGCCCCTGAGAAATATGGACCAGATGATTGCCAATTTCATTGGCAACATCTAGTGGGTTTGCTATATCAACACCGGCAACCCGCAGAACAGGAGCCGGGTCAGGAGAATATTTACCACTCAGTTTTCGTACTTCTTTCCAGACTGCACTCATAGAGGAAGCAGAGGTGATGGTGGAGACAAAATCTCTCCAGCAAGTGCGTTTAGCGTCACGGATGACACAGCGAGCGATCGCACGCTTCTGCTTAAAATCAAGAAGTCTCTCCGTGGTTCTATTATACCGGTACCTGCCCCACGCAGCACGTTTCAAATGTACTGCACGAGCACAAGCAGGAGACCACCAAGGCACGCATTTCTGAGAATGCCTGCCCGAAGTTTGGGGTATAGAATGAGAAGCTGCGGTTAAAACGGAGGACGAGAAGAGGTGTAAAAGCTCATCAATGGAGGACGAAGAAGGAACCTCACTAAAAACAGTTAGTTGTGAGTAAAGGTTCCAATTTGCCTGATCAAATTGCCAGCGTGGGTTACGAAGAGGTGGTGAATATGAAGGGAAGTAAAATGATGGGAAATGATCACTGTCATTAAATCCGGGAGAACAACCAGGTGAAGTCTAATGCGGCGGAGGAAGAGCAGACTGAGAGATCGATGCAAGAGAGAGTACGAGTCCGAGGATCAAAATGGGTGTGAGTACCTGTATTTAAAACATGGAGGGGGTGGGTAGCAAGAAAAGCCTCTAACTGAATGCCACGGGAATCACAGTGAGACCCCCCAGAGGAAATGATAGGCATTAAAATCGCCAAGTAACAGAAGTGGTGGCGGTAATGACGAAACAAAAAAAGGCAATATCTGGGATAGATAATCCCCCGAGAAGGAGAGAGACACAAAGAACAGAGTGTATACCACCTATGCAAGTGGATACGGGCTGCTGTGTAATGCAGCGAAGTACGAACAAATAGCTGATGGTATGGATATTCAGTGCGTAGAAGAAGGGCACTTCATTAAAGGGTCTCATCAGGAAAAGGATCTGAAGAATACAATAAATTATAGCCTGAGATAGGATAGATAATGGCAGAGTGTAATTTTGGTTCCTGTAAGCAAACACCAACAGGGGAAAACTGGGAGAGCGACATCTGAAGCTCACCCCGATTACCCCTGAGGCCGCGAATATTCCACTGTAAATAGGCCATGATTGGCAACGATAAAGATACCTGAAATCCGCAGAAAGGGTACCTACGGACTAGAGGGTTAGAAAAGTCCACATGCGGTGGCAAAGGAAAACGTTCAAGTAGCGAAGGAATGGTGCGTTGTGAAGAAAGGAGTTGCGCAGATGGAGAAGAGGAAAGAGAAGGAACAGAGGGTGGATCAGTGTCCACTGATGGTTTGGTCTCTGCAATATATTCAGAGATTGCTTCAAGTGTTTCGGAGTTCAGAAAACGTCATATGGGAGACAATATTGGAGATGGAAGGAGAGGAGTTTGAGTAAAGATCGGAGCTGTAATGGACTGTACCAAGGTGGGAGGGGGGGGGGCAAAAGGGTGGAGGGAACTGGAGAAGTGTGGGGGGGGACAGAAGAGGCAGGAACCTGGGAGGTGGCAGAAGAGGAAGAAACGTGGGGGGGGACAGGGGAGGAAGGCACAGTATGAGGTGGAGGATGAACCTCCACACTTGTAACAGAGCCAGTGAAAGGGGAAGACTCAGGTACAGAGACCGGAAGGTAAAATGTGGAGGTGGATGAAGAGAAGGAGGGTTAAAGGAGATTTTTTGGGCCTCTTGAGAAGTAGAGGGACGATTGGGAGGAGGTGTCATACAAGGTCTTGTTGATACCGGGGTTTGTGAGGGAGGACACGAAGAAGTGAGGACAGACTGTGGAGTTGAAGCAGGGACGTCTGACCCCAGAACAGCAAAAAAATTAGATCCCGGGGAGGGGATATGGGACGGAAACCCGCAGAGGAGGCTGAGAAGATGTGACCCCAAATTGGGGGACACTTTGAAACAGAGAAAAAAAAAAACCAGGGGGCCCTCCCCCTTGGAGGCGGGTTGAAAAACCCTTTTGGCATAAGGGAGCCCTTTCTCCCCTTTTGGCTACAAATTTTCCCCCCTCATTTAAGTAGATTTGGCAACGGCGAAGTAGGGAAGGGTGAGCCCCCATAAAATTTGGGGCAAGAAGGAGTTCGCTGCAAGCTATTGAATGGCCATCGGCACCACAACTGGGCTTTCGGCAATGACCGCAATTTTTTGCTGGGGGGCCAAAATCCCCAAAAATTTTCCTACACTTTTTTTGGGTGTAGGATAAATTTCCGAATTTTGTAACCGTTTGCCCTTGCTACTTTAAACGAGGATGGGGTTCATGGCTTCAAAAGTTAAACGGGGGACATTGAAAGGGGTTTATGTCTTGGGGCCCCGGGGCCCGGGAAAGAACAAAGTGTCAAACCTTGAAAATTTGGGAGATTTTGGAAAGTTCCAGCTGTTGGGAAAAATGTCAGTCCCACATTTTTTGGAAATTCTGTTGGATTTTGGTAGGGGGCAGAAAAACCAGTACCATTTAAAAGAATTGAGGGAATGATGTTTTTCGAAAAGTGTGGGGAAAAGTATCGATAGGTGAAAAAAGAAAAGATCATGAGTTTTGAGTAAAAATTCTGGACTGTGATGATCCCTTTTCCCACCTTAAAGAAATGAAAGGAAATACCTCTCCCAACGTGGCGTAAAAGCGTTTTGCCAATCATGGTCGAAAGATAGGGAGTTTTAAGAAGTCGGTCCCCTTAAAGTAAAGAATTTAGTCCATTGTGTGGTCTGAAATGAGTGTGGAGAGGGATTTCATGAGTGTCGGTTCCCTTTTCCCCAGTAAAAAAGGGAAAAATAACAAAAAAACATTTATTAGGGGATTGTTTGTTGAAAGTTTGGGAAATGGGACCAGAGTTGGTCCGACGTGGGACCCGGGGTGGGGATTTAAAAATTCCCGCCCGAGAAAAAGGGGGAAGCCGGAAGCATAGTCAAAGGAGAGCGGAGGTCAGACAAAACGAAGGGTCGTGGAAGCCCCCTTTCCTTTAAAACGGGTGAGGAAACAGCACCAGCAAGAGGTAAAAGGGCCCTTTGGAATGTCCAAAAAGGGGCCAAAAAACAGGGAGGCCGAACAGGGTGGGGGTTAAAAATAAGGGGCCCGGGGGGAGCGGGGGGCATGGATCGGGTTTTTCCAAGGTTTGGTTACTTCTTTCTTTTTGGTTTTTTAAGAAAAAAAAAAAGAAAAGAAATTAAAAAAAAAATAAAAAAAAGGGGGGACCAAGGAGGGATATTTTTCCCAGGAGGAATGGGAAAGGGCCCGAAAACCCCTCCGGCCCAAGAGGACCCCCAGCACCGCAAAATTAAACGCAGAGCGCATGGAACCCGTGCCATACCCCACCCCTCATTTCCAGTAAACCCCCAATCCCGGGGGGCCAAAACCCCACATCTGCCCAGCTACCTCTGGGGGACATAAGGGGGGCGGGGCCGGATATCCAAACCCCAAAGCATACCTCCTTCGGGCCCCTACCCCCCGAAAATCCGAAAAGGGGGCTTCCCGGATCACCCCCTTTCCCAAAAAACCCCCAAACCCACCCCCCCCGGGATTCCGGAGAGGGGTCGGGAAACCCCCCGGGGATTTCCCGATTCCCGGGGAAAATACCCCACCCCCAAAACCTCAAAAAGGGAAAGGGGGTGGAACCCCGGGATCCTTTCCCCCACCCCGGGAAATAGCACACCTGTGGGAAAAATTCCAAAGGGGCCCAAAAAAAGGAAAAGGGGAAAAGGGAGGGGTGGGGAGGGAGGAGGAGGAGGAAAGGAAAAAGGGGGGGAGGGATAGGGGGAAAAAAAGGGGGGTTTTGGGGGGGGGGTTTGGTTCGGGCAAGGGAAGGGGGACCGACAGGTCTTTAAATTTTTTCAAACCAAACCTTTCCCCCATGCCAAGGACCCCCCTTTTAAGAGGACATTTTTTTACCTTAAAAGGAAAAATAAAAATTAAAAGAGCCAAATGCGTGGTTACTGGCTTGTGGAAGGCAGGACCTTTGAATCCAACCCCTTTCTCATTATAAAACGTTTTAACCTTTTTTAAAAACCTATCCAAAGTTTTAGTTCAGTTTTTTTATTTATGAGGGAAGATATCCAACCAAAAATTTTAAAAACTTTGTTCAAACTGGAAAAATTTGGCATGCAATGTGCGCTGCGGGGATTTTTTTTATTGGTGCACACGACCACCAACCCATTCTCCACATGTGGGCCCCCCCTTTTCCCTGCTTATTTGAACCCGCTAAAATTATTGAGTGTATTAGCCAGAAAAAATTGGTGTAAGACGTTTTTATCTCAAAACGTCAAAGGTTAAGGAACGTGCCCCCATGGGAAAAAATTATCATTCCAATCGTTTCTAGAAGTGAGGGCCCATCACATTCAAAAAAACCACACAATTTAGTTCCTTGTGTGTGAGCACACTTTCCCTGGAAATTTGGGGGTTTGGTTTAAAGGGGTTTTATTTAAACCCCGGGGTAGTTTAAAAGTTATTAATCTTCGCATGTAAAGTTTTTCCCTATTATTCAATTATTGTAAAGCCAATGTTTCTTTTTTTAATTTCCATTTTCTATTTAAAGTAGGTTTACTGGATTAGATATGTATTAGGACATATTAATTTAAAAAGATACGGTGGGCCCATCACTAACCCCGCATCAGGGGACCTGTAGTGTGCCAGATTGGCGAGTTTCCCAGATTAAGTGGTTTGGTTTGAGTACACTTAATTAAACTTACCAATGAGACTGCAACACATCTTCATTTATCCTTTTCTCCTTTATTGGCTTGCTGCTGTGGATTTCAACAAAACTTCACAATTTCGAGCGGTTGATTTTTGTATTTTTATGAAATTTGAAAAATTTTGCCCGGCCTGGTGTGGACCGGGCCAGGGGGCGTTGATCCCGGAAAAACCCCCAGGTAGCCCCATGTAGAAAAGGGTGTCAGGTCGGCATCACTTATCCGGGAATCAGTTTTAAATTCTCAGCAATCCAGCACTAAATTTTTGGGTAGCATTCTTCAAAAATTCCATTTTAATGATCCAATCATTTAGTAACTCAAAATTTTATCTTATAGTGACTCAGAAATTTTGCAATGGGTAAATCCACGCGCAAACCATGGAGAAAAAGTGATGAAAATGAGGAAAATTTTTGCGAAAGGTCTTTGAAGGTTAAAAAAGGGTATTCTAACCCCCCCAACCCCTTGTAAACCGGCAAAATCACAATCTGGCACACTAAAGGTCCCAATGATGGCCGGGGTTAGTGATGGCCGACCTGTACTGGTTTGCAAGAAGTTTTATGGTGGAACAATCAGCAAGGTCATGAGTAGGGTAAAATTTGGTCAGTTTAAAAAAAGTTTGGAAAAATGTATGGGTAAGAAAGATCGGATTTGAGGGCTTCCTGGCATAGGCACGTGCTCTTCCATTATTGTTCTTTAACCTTTGGTTAGCTTTCAAAAAAAGGTAGGTAATTTTTTTAACACATTGGTTCTCCTACTGAGGTAGGGATGGGCCCGGTGTTTAAAAAAATCATTCTGCATAATTTCAAGAAATTCTGAGATTAGTTTTATTTCAGATTTTATATTTTGTTTCTTCTTTTTAAATCAAGTCTATTCAAATTTTTGTCCTTTTACTTTTAGTTTTTTAAATAAAAAAAACCCGGGGGTACCCATTAACAGAATTATTAAGCTGACTGTGAATCTGCATGGTATTATAATCAAGGAGGAAGCGCTAAACCCGTAGTATTATACAGCGACTGTGGGGAGGATGTGGAAGGTATTCAGGTTTAATTCAGGGAACTGGAGCACAGATCCAATTCCCTAGATCAAGAGTCCCTCACCAGCATCAGGAAACCTTCATTGAGGGGAATCTGCATGGTAACTTTGATCTAGTATTTGTAATTAAATGTTCAAAACAATACAGAATTTTGTGTCTAAACTTAACAGGTTATAACCCCACTTGCTAATTTAATATTTCATGAATACCTGTTTGCAGATACTATATATGTAAAATGCTGAGAGTAATTCTGAATATCAGTGAAAACTGATAGTGAGTTTATCATTCTCTACCCATGAGAAAGGGTGCAACAGTACAAATTATTATTTAAAGAGAGGTACATAAACAGAGAAACAATTTCTTTTACTACTGTTACAGGAGACCTACCCGCAGCATTTTCACAGGAATTAAATAGATAAGAATGCGTCTCTTATTTTTCCGGCTACCGGCGTGGCATCTCTGGAAAGCGAATGACAATGTTGCATCAGCTGAAAATAAAATGAAAGATATGGTATTATATCATAGGTCATATTTTAATTAGCTTGAAAAATCCCATGAAATTTAAATGAAATGCCAGGATAATTAATTTAAAAAGTTTATGCAGTTCAGAAATAAAATACAGTCGAACCACAGTGTTCATATGCCCTAGTCTGTATGTACAACTATATTATTATCTATAAAATGTATTTTCTGTTAATATTTTTGGATATCTGGAACAGATTAATTGGATTTACATTATTTCTTAAGGGAAATATCAACAAAAAATACATTTTATAGAGAATAACTATAGTTTTACATACAGACTAAGGCATATGAAAACCGAGGTTCCACTGTAAATTATTTGAAGTAATAAAAATTATGAATTAACAGAAAATACATTATTACACTTTTCAGAAATTTCAGAATAACAATAATTCAGTTGCTTAACTTACTTTATATTCTTTAGAAACACTTACAGAAAATATGAAAAGAAATGCATATGTAACAGCATTAAATACAGTACAAGGTTCCTGCACAACAAATTAAAAAAAAAAATACACTGTATAGCAGAGCTAAATACAATAGGTACTAGGCTCCTATGACATTACTGAGAACATAAGGTACAGTATTATGAAAAAACTGGTTTAATACTAACACCTATGACCTTTGCCTGTAATGCTTTTCAATTATTTCTGTGGGAGTACCATCCTACCTCACAAAAGTGGTTGAAAAGGGCAATGATAATGATGATATAACACCAAAGTTAATGACTGTACACTGAGGTTGATTTTGCATAGAAAGATACTGAATAATGATTTTTTTTAACAAGCTAACAATCTCCCACGAAGTTATGGTGAACTGAAAAAGATGAAACACACTCAAAATTATTCATTCAATCACCATCTTGCTAGAATATAACTGCAACATCCCCACCCCTCCTTCAGAGTGCAGGTACTGTGCATCCTATCTTTAGGATTCAAGTCCAGCTAACTGATTTCCCTGAAACCTTTTGTAAATGTTGTCTTGCTCACACTCCAACATCGCCATGAAAACCACATGCCTCCACTTATTCCTGTCTAGTGCACTCACACAAGCCTGTTGGATGTCCAAGCCCATGGCACTCAAAACCTCCTTTACCCACTACTTTTTACCTTCCCTGGGATGATCCCTACCCCTCTCTCCCTCCATCCCAGATTTATATACCCTCCTGGTCATCCTATTTTGCACCATCATTTCTAAATGTCCAAACCACCTCAACCTCTTCTCAGCCCTCTGAACAACTTCATTCTTTTGGTAATCCCAAACATTCCTCTAATCTCCAAATTCTTTGCATAATAATCTATGTACCTTCCAACATAACATCTCCACTGCCTCCAACCTAGCTCTTGCTGTAATGTTTAAAATCCATGCTTCACATCCATTTAACAGTCCTGGCACTACTATACTCTGGTATGTTTCCCTTTTTGCCTTTTTACCTCGTCAATTTGCAACTTCTCCCAAAAGAATCGTGTTGCCAGCATAAAACAACTGTGACAACTCCTACTTTGTATCAATGATAATCCATTATTACTGATGGTACATACGTACTTGAATATTCAATTGCAATATGAATACTGATGTTAATTCATCTACATATATGTAGTTAATTATATATTCATAAGCTTATTGTATATTACCTGATTTGAAATCTGAGTCAAACATGTCCTTCCTGCCTGTGTAATATTTGTATGTAATAAGTTGAGACAGCGAGAAACGCTCTTTGAAAGCCAAAGCCTCGATAGCACGTATCATTGGTTTACACAGGTTAAGCTTGTTGATCTTGAAATATATCTTGAAAAACTGATTGACCAAGTAGAGGAGGCCCCATCGCTTTGTGCAGTCTTCTCCAGTGCGTCTGTAAATAAGGGATAGGTTACACAGTGCTCCTAAATAAAGCTCAGTATCACAATCATATAACAGTATAGTTAAAGGAATTTTTATTCCTTTATCACCCTCGCCAATATCATCCCGCCTTCATTATGCAAGAAAGTGGCATTTGCTTGGAGAAGATAGAGGATTTCTCCAGGAGTAAAAAAAGAAAAGAAATAAGAAAAAGAGGTTGAAATAAATTAAAGACACAGTATTCAGTCATACCTTTGATTTCACACTACATATTGTGGTAATCCTTGTTTTTAACACTTGCAGGCTTGGTGTTATATTTTTAAAATCAGAGGTGAGTTTAGATTTAACTTATTCTTTATGAAAGTTAACTAGCTTACAAGTATAAAAAGCTGGCCCAGTGTCTAACGCGTCGATCTGGAGTTTTATGACTCTCTGATCGAGGGTTCTATCCCTACCCATGGTATGGCTGGTTTACTGAATGAATGATTGGGAATAAGCTTCTTCCTTTGGATAATAACCAATGTGGTAAAAAAATTATTCACTGAAAATTTCTTCTTTCTTTCAACACACCGGCCGTATCCCACCGAGGCAGGGTGGCCCAAAAGGAAAAACGAAAGTTTCTCCTTTTACATTTAGTAATATATACAGGAGAAGAGGTTACTAGCCCCTTGCTCCCGGCATTTTAGTCGCCTCTTACAACATGCATAACTCACGGAGGAAGAATTCTGTTCCACTTCCCCATGGAGATAAGAGGAAATAAACAAGAATAAGAACTAGAAAGAAAATAGAAGAAAACCCAGAGGGGTGTGTATATATATGCTTGTACATGTATATGTAGTGTGACCCAAGTGTAAGTAGAAGTAGCAAGACGTACCTGAAATCTTGCATGTTAATGAGACAGAAAAAAGGACACCAGCAATCCTACCATCATGTAAAACAATTACAGGCTTTCATTTTACACTCACTTGGCAGGACGGTAGTACCTCCCTGGGTGGTTGCTGTCTACCAACCTACTACCTAGTTACTGAAAATTTATCATTGGTAAATATAAACATTCTTCTGCTTCTAGTATGTAATAATGATTATTGCGCATTTTTAAATTACATGCATTATATAAATACAGAACAAAGCCATAATGAAATTAAAAGACAGCAGTACCACATAAAAAATATCTGTTTGTCATAAATATCAGTTGTCTTTACTATATTTGTTAAATAAATTTCCATAAACCTAAACAAGTGATTTTTCAAAAGTACGCAGAATAAAACTCACGTATCTGCAGCACAAACACGGAAGCAGCTCATGAGAGCTTCGGCTGCTTTCTCCAAGGTCTCTCCTGCCTTACTTGCTCCAGAGCGTGTCAAATCATAATCTGCAGCAGATGCAAATAACCTGTTGTCAAATCAGGGTTGTTAATATAGCTCAGTTTATGTAGCACAGTTAAGGGTACATTAAAATTACTGAATATATTGGCACTACATTTTTCAGGACTAGAAGTTTACATTTTATTATAAATTTTTAAACTTTTTGCATCAATCAGCACTACTCAAGTTTAACCCTTTCAAGGTTTCCGACGTACTAGTATGTCTAAGGTGCCAGGGTTATTGACGTACTAGTACGAGTAAATTCCAGCGCCTTCAAATCTAGCGAGAGAAAGCTGGTAGGCCTACATAGAATGAGTCTATGTGATCAGTATGCACAGTATAAAAAAATCCTGCAGCACACAGTGCATAATGAGAAAAAAAAAAAACTCCGACCGTGTTTTTGGTTTAAAACAGTGATTTTGCAGTGTATTTTCGTATGGTATTTATGGTTGCATTCTAGTTTTCCTGGTCTCATTTTATAGAATGGAAGACATTACAGAAATTGAGATGATTTTGAATAATTTCACAATAAAAAGCACCTTGAAACTCAGCTCAAAATAGCAGAAATGTTCGATTTTTGCCAAAGTTCAAAAGTAAACAAATCATGCCATGCGTCCAATACATATCAACTGGCGAGTCTAATATTCTTTCACAAGTGCGCTGATATTATTTATACCATTTTTACACTAATGCAGTAGTCTGCATAACAGTAAATCTTCTATTTTTTGTGAGAATAAAAATTCAAAGTGGAAAGCAAAAGAAATGTATGAGGAGCCTAGGGACATGACTAATGAACAGAGAAAATGTTATTTTAGTGCCAGGAATGTCTGTCTTGTTTATTCTAGACCCTATTTGGAAATTGGCATGTTTTGAAATTTGTGTAAAATTGGCAAAATTGCCAATTTCTGACCATCTTATTGGATAGTTGAAATTGGTAAATGGGTGGTTTCTTGTACTCATTCGATAGAAAAAATGGAGTTCTAGTGAAACAGTTATGATTTTTGTCAACTAGTACACTGGAATTGGCCAAAAATAGGGCTCAAAGTGGGCGAAATCGCCGATGCGTAAACATCGTCGAGATCGCTAACTTTGCGAGAGCATAATTCCGTAAGTTTTCCATCAAATTTCCTACTTTTGGTGTCATTATGATCGGAAAAAGATTCTCTATCATTTCATAATAAAAAATATTTTTTTTTTCCGAAAAATTTTTGACCCTGAGAACAAGTTTAGGAGACGACCTCTCGACCCTGAAAGGGTTAAATTTAAAATGAAGGAACGAATGCACAAAACCTAGAGTACTGTATTTTAGTTAATTTATATATTTTCCTCTAACGATTTATACCTACGGAGCAGAGGATCAGTCTTATGAAAATCTAAAATGTAAAGACTAAAATATGTACAGTACAGTGGACCCCCGGTTAACGATTTTAATCCGTGCAAGAGGGCTCATCGTTATGCGAAATAATCGTTATGCGAATGAATTTTCCCCATAAGAAATAATGGAAATAAAATTAATCCGTGCAAGACGCCCAAAAGTATGAAAAAAAATTTTTTTTACCACATGAAATGTTAATTTTAATACACACAAACTGAAAAAGGCATGCACAATTAAATGACACTTACTTTTATTGAAGATCTGGTGATGATTGATGGGATGGGAGGAGGGGAGAGAGTGTGTTAGTGTTTAGAAGGGGAATCCCCTTCATTAGGACTTGAGGTAGTAATTTCCTTTTCTGGGGTTACTTCCTTCTTCTTTAATGCCACTAGGGCCAGCTTCAGAGTCACGGACTTCTTTCGCACAAGATATCTGTCCATAGTGGCCTGTACCTCTCGTTCCTTTATAAACTTGCCTAAAGTGTTTCACAACTTTGTCAGTGTAATAATCACCAGCACGGCTTGCAATAGCTGTGTGGGGTGTTTTTCATCCATGAGGTTTGCACTTCAACCCACTTACCCACAGATTTCCTTTATCTTTGTAGTAGGCAACTTCTTCAATTTCTTCTCCCCTCCTCTGAACCAGTTTCCTCAGGTCTGGCCTCTTGCTCTTGAAGTTGATCTATCAGTCTCAGTGGTTAGTTCTTAAATTGTCCTCCTCCACCAACTCTTCACTTCCTCCCACTAACCTCCAACCCAAGGACTTTCCCAATGCCACAATGGATTCCTCAACTGGCACAGGATTCTCAGGGGTTTGCCTCAAACCCTTCAAAATCCCTTTTTTCTACACATTCTGGCCACAGTTTCTTCCAAGCAGAGTTCAAGGTCCTCTTTGTCACTTCCTCCCAAGCCTTACCTATAAGGTTTACACCCAAATTTAGGAATTAAAGTGATCTCTCCCAAACTCTCTTAGAGTCAGTTGAGTTCTGAGGTCATTACAAAGCACCTTTCAAACAGAGCTTTTGTGTACAGTTTCTTGAAGTTGGAAATAACCTGCTGGTCCAAAGGGCTGCAGGGGAGGGAGTGGTATTTAGGAGGCAAAAACTTCCCTTAATGAAGCTCATGTCCCCATTAAAGTCGCTCTTGCCACGTCTGTAGGATGACCAGGGGGATTGTCTAACACCAGGAGGCACTTAAGTTTAATTTCTTTTCAGTTAGGTAATTTTTCACATTGGGGGCAAATGCATGGGGTAACCAGTTATAGAAAAATTCCCTAGTGACCCAAAGCCCTTTCTGTTTGCCCTCCACAGCACACACAAATTATTTCCCTTTAGGGCATTCTTTTGCCTGAACGCTTGGGTTTTCAGAGTGTTTACACTAATAAAGGCTTCACTTTGCAATCACCAGTAGCATTGGCACACATCAACAATGTAAGCCTGTCTTTCATAGGCTTATGTCCTGGGAGTGCCTTTTCCTCTGAGAAATGTAGGTCCTGCTTGGAAATTTTCTTCCAGAACAGGCCTTTTTTCTCACAATTAAACACTTGTTCAGGTTTCAGTCCTTCAGTTTCATGTACTCCTTGAATTCCTGCAAAATTATTTTCAGCCGCTTTTGTGGTCCGAACTGGCAGCCTCACCATGCCTTATACACTATGGATGCCACTACGCTTTTTAAAATTCTCAAAACAAACCTTTGCGGGCCCTTTAAAATTCACTCACATCATCATTTGTTGCAGGCATTTTTTTAATTAAATCCTCATGCAACTTCCTAGCCTTTTACTTATGATCGCTTGGGGGACGCTATCTCCTGCTACTGTTTTCATTTTCCCACACCAATAAGAGTCTTCAACATTTTTCCATCAATTGGGGATCTTTGTTTCGAAAACACAGTTGAACCTTTGGCAAAACAGCTTCCTTGATTGTCTTTCTGGTGCCCACAATAGTAGGCGATGGTTGATTGGGTTTCTTGTACAGCTTGATAGGTCGGTTTATACGCACTCCACTTTCATACTTATCAATTATCTCTTTCTTCATCTCTATAGTAATTCTTACCCTTGAGGTTTTGGGTTGGCACTAGAAGCTTTCTTGAGGCCCATGGTCATTATTTTCCAGAAACAGCACCGAAAATACTGTAATAATACGAAATATTCCGAGTGTATGCTTGGATGTTACCGCGGAGGCTGGCTGGTAAACAATGGGACGGAGCGGCACATGTGAGGCTGGCTGAGGGCACATTGGACGCGTCTCGGACGAAATTCGTTATGCGGGTTTTTAATCGGTATGCGCGGCAAAAATTTTGCGATAAAAGTAATCGTTATGCGGAAAAATCGCTATGTGATGCCATCGTTATGCAGGGGTCCACTGTATTTAGATTATAATAATTAGACAAATTTTAATTTCCTATTTTTTGACTTTACATAAATTAAAAATCATACCTTTTGTACAGATTATAATTCCAGTCAAATTACCACATCCTTATAATTTTAAGTTAGCAGTCACATACATGTATAATACCGATTTTCTGGCACCCTCGGTTCCTAGGCTTTGCCAGAATACTGATTTTGCTGGACCAACAGAGGTCATATATGACCTGTCATGGTCTGCTGGAAACTTAAATTAAACATCAGCATAAATAAAACAGGTTTATTTATTACTGTACTTAAAAAGAATGTTGCAGTAATACCACTCTGAAAGTGGTAAATTTTAGAACTTTACTGGAGCTGCTGAGCTAATCACTAGCCATAGCTAAGGTTAACTGTTTGCAAAATGTAAGTTTGTCCAGACTAAAAGAGGTACTGGACAATCTGTTGCCGGTAAATCGGTGTTGTACTTATATTACATCCATGACAAATTTGAAATACTGTATCAAGAACAAAAAGACGATGCAATAGATTACTGCATACCTTAAATCAAGGCAAGCACTATACATAATTGGCAGCATCCAATTCTCTTCCTTTAGCTCCTGCATGAAACGAGCAACTGATTGTACCACCACCATCTGCGTCTTCCAGGCCTCAACACAGTCCCCAGAGCCTGCAGCCCACACTGCCCTGCAAAACAAAATAGATTTAAAAAATTTATCGGAATAAGAGTGATAACCCTATATGGAAATGATATAGATATTATTTAAAATAATTACTGTCAATAAATATGGCTTATGGCTCAGCAATCTAGAAGTTATGGAAATTAACAAAGAGCTGTATGCACTTCATGTTCAATATGAAATTGCTCCCAATTAATCCTTGTATAATGTTTATGTAAGTATACACTTAATGAATGCAATCATATATAAAATTAATTACTTTATATACTGTATTGTATGAACATCTGATAAATAAATTTAATCGATCAACAAGAATATGCATACCAGATTTTAATTAAAAAAAAATTAGGCAACTGCAAGTATATATCATAAGCAACTGTGGAGCAAGAATCTTTTTAATTCAAACCTTAAGTGGGCTGCGATGACCTCAGCCAGTAATGGATCTATACAGCGCTCTACATCTCGCTCAGGTTTCTCCAGCATCAAGCGTAGGCTCATAACATGTGGGTCACGGAAGGAAATGAGATCCTGGTAAGTAAATATAGCATCCAATATTTCTATAAAAAAATTGAACAGTGATACATAAAGTAATGTAATGTGGTGATTATAGCAGTTTGTACCTGTTTTTTGGGTTTGTATTTCGTAAAAAAAAAAAAAGAATCTTAAATAATGCAGAATTTTTTCTGAAACTTAGTAAACATTATAAAATCCATGGGGAAACTCAAAACCCATAAGGGTCATATAGTATCTGAAAAACGAGAGGTTTTCAGATGTCATCGGAGAAAGGGGAGGAGAGTTCCAATTCCTTGGATCAAAAGCAATTCATGGACATCAAAAATCCCCTTCCCATCCCTCCGAAGGATAATAACAAACAGGCTCATAGTGACCCCCAACACAATACTATACATGCACTCAAGTAACTATATACAGGAAATGGAACAAGTGCTGGGCAATTCAAGAATACGTACCCCAAGAACATCTCCATTTTGATGATAGAAAGCTGTCTGGACCTGTTGATACAAGATGTATTGTTAACTTCAGTTTCAATAAACATTAACAAATACATAAAATTACTTAGAATGAGCAATATCTATTGTATTTAAAAATCAATTTTCCTACATGTTTAGTCTCCTTAGTGTGCAGCTATAAGTTTAATGCATTTAAAGTTAAATACAGTTACATAAACTCTCATACATAGCAGCATATGTGGATTACCCTGGATAATCCCCCCCCCAAAAAAAAAAAAAAGGCCAGAAAGTTACTTATTTCCACTGGGCCCTTTGTAGTATGTTATTATTCAATCCTACAAGAATCATAAAACGCCTCGGAAATGGGAGAGAATCAGTTCTGACTCAAGAAAGCGCAGGAGAGCTCAATTCCACTGGACCAAGAGCCTTCACCAGCGTCTGGGATTATTATTATTATAATCAAGGGGGAAGCGCTAAACCCGGAGGATTATACAGCGCCTGGGGGGGGGGGATGTGGAAGGCATTCAGGCTTAATTCGGGGAACTGGAGCACAGATCCAATTCCCTAAATCAAGAGCCCCTCACCAACATCAAGGAACCTTCCTTGAGGGGACCAGCGTCTGGGAGTAATCTGAAAAAGACCATTTGAATACCGACACCAGCGAAGGTTGACACTGTAGGCAGTCATTTATGCTTTAACTTTTTTTGAAAAGTTATTTATGGCCTTACCCTTTGGAGGTAGTCATTTACGGACATTGCTGCCATGGTGACGAGGTTCTGCACTGCTGCTCTCCTTATAAAGATTATTATTATAATATATTTCCTTCACAAAGGCCATTTGTTTACTGCATTCACAAATGGCGAGGATTAGTTGCATTAAAATGTTAACTATTAGGTTAAAAGACTTTTTCACATATGAACTTTTATTTACCACATAGTTTCTAATGAATAAAAATTGAAATATATATATTCACCCCAAAAATCTAATGTTTTCTTTTAACAACAAACGTTTATTTGCTTGTCTTATAACCCAGAATATATTTTTGATTTTTATATAGATGAAGTTTCAGGCCCTTATAATTATGTAACAAACTAATAAAACTAGTGCAGCAAAATTATATTTACTTTCTAAACACATATAGGAATAATAATTCTAACAAGCAATTTTAGTCTGGTGGCCGGGCAGATAGTCTTTTAAATAATAAATCTCCATTATAGAATAATAATAAGATTAATACTATAACCTTTATATTATAATAATAAGGTAAAAGGACCCCAATGGAAATACCTGGACTAAATAAGTCACTCTGTCTGATTTTTTGGGGTTATCCTCGGTTCTCTACATTTATGCTGCTATGTATGATAATCTATGTAACTGTATTTGTATATATCTCATAAACTTACTAGTGGTTAAAGTTCTCGCTTCACACAGCGAGGGCCTGGGCTCGATTCCCAGCCAGAGTAGAAACACTGGGTGTGTTTCTTTCCACCTGTTGTGTATGTTCCCCATCAGTAAAATGGGTACCTGGGTGTTAGTCGACTGGTGTGGGTCGCATCCTGGGACACTTCAATTCAATTCAAAGTTTATTCTCTATAAGGATTACAATGCTTAGTTTACAGAAATTTGGTTATTGTGTGGTTTACATGTAGTAAAATAGTGATTACAGAGTGTACCACTAGAACGCTTAGCATGGCTAGGCATTTCGAGCAGACTTAGTTTTATTCTTAATTGTAAAATATTACAAATTATGAGGTAAGTTGGTATTATGGCTAAGTGACTAAATACTAGTTTGTGAGTTTAGCAATGTAAATGCTTTTGTTTTGGCACAGTACATAATTTCAGTATTGGAGTATCACAGGATTCATTATTTTAAGATTGAGATTAATATTTCTGTTTATGGTCAAATGAGTGAGTGAGTGTAAGTGTGAACCACCAGGTGGTATTCGTGTAGTTAGTAGACAGGGTGTATCAGGGAGATAAGATGTTTTCTAATGGTAGTTTTGAAGGTGATGAATGTGTCTGCAGTTCTAGAGTTCTCAGGTAGGGTATTCCAGATTTTAGGGCACTTGACATACATTGAATTTTTGTAAAGGTTTAGTCGGACACGGGGAATGTCGTAGAGATGTTTGTGTCTGGTGTTATGCCTGTGGGTTCTGTCACAACTATCAAGAAAGCGTTTTAGGTCAAGGTTGATATTAGAGTTTAAGGCCCTGTAGATGTAGATTGCACAGTAGTAAGTGTGGATGTACTGAACAGGGAGTAAGTTTAGGTCTATGAAGAGTGGGGGGGGGTGTTGCCAGGGATGGGATTTAGTGATTATTCTTACTGCAGCTTTTTGTTGGGTTATTATTGGCTTTAGGTGTGTTGCTGCAGTTGATCCCCAAATACAAATAGCATAGGTGAGGTATGGATAAATAAGTGAGTGGTATAGTGTGAGAAGGGCATTTTGCGGCACGTAGTATCGTATCTTGGAGAGGATCCCAACCGTTTTGGATACTTTTTTGGTTATATGCTGGATATGGGTGCTGAAATTCAGGTTGTTGTCAAGGTATAGGCCTAGGAATTTGCCCCCATTATTTCTGGTAATTAGAGTGTTGTCAATCTTAATGTTAATTTGTACATCTCCTGCTCTGCTACCAAACATAATATAGTAGGTTTTGTCAGTGTTAAGCGTAAGTTTATTGGCTGTCATCCAAATCGATATTTTGATCAGCTCCTCATTCACAGTGGTGTTGAGGGTGGCAAGATTAGGGTGAGAGATGACATAAGTCGTGTCGTCAGCAAAGAGAATGGGTTTCAGGTGTTGGGATACGAAATGCTCAGCATAACAAGGGGCTTTCTATATAGTAGTATGTCATTGATGTCAGCTAGGACTGTATGCTTTGTACATGTACTTGTAGTAAATAAAAATATTATTATTATTATTATTATTATTATTATTATTATTATTATTATTATTATTATTATTATTATTATTATTATTATTGTCTACTGTGGATCACAGCATCATTTGCCTAATCAGAGGACTTGGAAAGCCTGTTCTTGTTGACTCAGATGGATGTAAGATAAGAGATAAGATTTCGTTCGGATTTTTAACCCCGGAGGGTTAGCCACCCAGGATAACCCAAGAAAGTCAGTGCGTCATCGAGGACTGTCTAACTTATTTCCATTGGGGTCCTTAATCTTGTCCCCCAGGATGCGACCCACACCAGTCGAATAACACCCAGGTACCTATTTGCTGCTAGGTGAACAGGACAATAGGTGTAAGGAAACGTGTCGGAATTTCCACCCGCCGGGAATCGAACCCGGGCCCTCCGTGTGTGAAGCGGGAGCTTTAGCCACCAGACCTGGTAAATAGTTTAGAAAACCGACAAATTGAAGAATAAGACACTTATGCAACATATGGGAATCTTTACTGAGGAAACGTTTCTCCACACACTGGCTTTATCTATTAATGTAATCACGACAACATACAAAACCTGTTTTCATCCAGTCCTGTCCCTGCTCTTTCTCCAACCTTCCTTTGACTCCCATATATAATTAGTAGCATATATTGTACCATTATATTTGTATAGTAATTTAAATAACAAATAAATCTAACAATTATACCTTCATTCTGTGATATTTATTATGAATTAACTGAGTTAATTTTAAGAATACTACATGCTAAGTTTTGCTTGAGATGCTGTCCATTCTTTGGAACTTCAATTTATTGTTTGTCTTAGTATTGAAATTTAATTAGTATCTGTATTTATATTCGACCACCACTAAGAACCTTCACAAAGGTTGTGTAACTAAAATGTTCATCAAATTGTTCTTGCAAAAATTCCACTATGTAGTTACATGTTACAAGTACATGTAAGTTATTTTAAGACTGTCCAAAATGGTATGGATTTCGTAGCTCGATCACCAGCGCACTCAGCTCAATGTTCACCCATTGGTAAAATAGGTACCGGGGTGTTAGTTGACTGGTGTGGGTCGCATCCTGGGACAAAATTGACCTAATTTGCCCGATATCCTCTGCATAACAAGCATCTTTCTGGACAGTAGTTTGTCCGAAAGCTGCCCGAAATGCCCCGGTATGCTAGTGGCTTTTTATGTATCCATCAACATAAAATAAATAAAATCAAGCAAAATAAAATATTTATTTTTTTGCTAAGGTTACAATGTGTTTACATATCTTAATATGATTGGAACAAAGAAAGCCACTATCATGCCGAGGCATTTCGGGCAGACTTAACCTAATACTTACAGACTACTTAAGACTTGTGCAAGAAAGGTATACAATAGACAAGATGAAAGTTAAGACACATGTGCAAAATCTGGTTATCTTTATTGTAGACGTTTCGCCATCCAGTGGCTTTATCAATACAGATTCTAGGACATAAATAGAAGACAGTAGAAGTATATACAAAAGATGAGGTAATCAATCAACACCACCTTGGAGGTGGTGTTGAGAGCATCGTAGTTTTAGTGATTCCAGAATCACTGATTACCTCATCTTTTGCATATAATTCTACTGTCTTCTATTTATGTCCTAGAATCTGTATTGATAAAGTCACTGGATGGCGAAACGTCTACAGTAAAGATATCCAGATGTTGCATATATGTCTTAACTTAAGTTTAGAGAGGTGAAGAGTGGTAGAATCCAAATAGTCAATATTTCACTCTATTATTAATATGATGTAGTACAATTTATAATTCACACACTCTAACTTATACAAAGAAATAAACTTGTTTATTGTTTACTGATGTCAGCTAGACCTGTACATGTACTTGTAGAAATAAAGATATTATTATCATATTTCCTAACAATGAGAAGTAAAGATAGAGAGAGAATAAGCTGTTCATATCCCTTATAAACTCAACTGGAACAAGAAGGAGGAAGCTGTATCGTAGTTTTCCTGTTTTTTTTTATAGTAAGTCTCCTCTGTTTGGGTTTAAAAATTACTTACATTAAAATGACAGCATGTTGTTTAATGGAGATAAAGGAAATGGTTGGGAGGGGGGGGGGGGGAAGGTGGTACTTTGATGCCGGTAAGAAGCTCTTGATCCAAGAAAATGGACGTGTCCTTTTTCCTTGGAAATGTATGCAAGTTTATTCAGGTACATGTATATATTAATAAAGTTACATAAATTCGTACATAGTAGCATATGTGTAGGTTACATAGGATAACTCAAGAAATTTTGTGACATTTCCATTGGGGTCCTTGTAATATCTTGTTAAAATCTTAGTTAAAAAGTGCTAAGTAACTCTACTGTGTGAAGAACAGTTATTATACTTAAGGGGAGGCACTAAACCCATAAGGGTCATATAATGCCTGGGAGGCATTTAGGCTTGATCCAAGGAAGGGGAGGGCAACTCCAGTTCCTTGCATTAAAACCGGATTGCCTTTAATAATAATAATAATAATAATAATAGTGTAATAATAATAATAGTTATTATTATTCCTTTATGCCATACAAATAATATAGTTTAAATGAATTGATACAATGGTAGGCACAAAAGATTCTCTAATTATGCAGCACATTTCGGGCAACTAATCCTAAGGTATATACATGTATGTTACTCAAGAACTAGGCATAGACTATTAAGTAGGATTTCTTATGTAGTTAACTACCATCATAAGTACAGTAAGACAGGTAGCTAACGGCAAATGGCCAGTTACAAAAGAATTGCATATTATTTCAAACTGGTTCAATGATCTTCAGTTTTCTGAAGTGATTGAATAGAGATGGCGAAGATACAGCAGTTTACTTTAAAATAAAAGCAAAATGGGGCAAGATAAGATAAGATAACATAGGGTAAGCTATTCATTAATCACTGTATGTCTAGGACCCCAGTGGAAATAGGTCAGTGTCTGACTTCTTTGGGTTATCCTAGGTAATTTACACTATGTATGATAATCGTACTTGTGTGTAACTGTACCTAGATAAACTTATTTACTTATAGGTTTATCGCTTTTCCATAAGAGGATGTGAGGTTTGACTTGCCATGGACACTGTTTGTCGTTGATATTGTGTGCTTTATACTGACTTATTTTTTTGGCCCTTACAGGAGATTCCTTGTTGTCAGATCAGGACTCTTGATTCAAGGAACTGGAGTTATTCTGCTCTTTATCAGACCAGATTATCTTCCATTCCTCAGACATAGTATGACTGCTGTAGGATGATTTAAACACTTGTGTATCAGATTTAAGAATTTTCAAGCTGGCATTAGTGAAGTGTAGTTGTCTAGCTGTGTACTAAATGATCCATTGGTTTTGGCACTCATTGTGAATGCTGTATAATAATAATTATAATAATAATAATAATAATAATAATAATCAGCTGTATGTCTCCATTCTGGTTTCACATGCAGTAAGGGATTTAATTAGATGAAAGGTACATATATAATAACCAACAAGAACCCCAAGTCAATTTGTATGACTTTTTTGGGTTATCTTAGGTAATTTACACTATGTATGATTAATATTGTACTTAGGTCTACCTGTGCCTAAATAAGCTTACTTACTATTGAAACATGACAACACCTGGGTATCTTTATTGAGATGTTTCATTCACCAGGGCCTTCATTACCTTTGTTACCTACAAGGAAATAAGAGGATGTCCCTAAAACTCAATTGCTAAATCATGGTCAATCTTGTGGGCTTGACCTACTTCAACTAGTGAGCCCCTCCCATATGTGATTACATCTGCTGCTGCTGATGCATCACTCCACTACTTCTGGCTCTGCTGTGAAGATCTCCATTTTCATATCTCTATTAATAAAACCTTTGGTGGATGAAATAAGGCATCCCATTACTCGATTTCTAGTGCATTCAGCTCACATGTTGAGGTCTGTGGCTTGATCCTTAGTATGGGTGAAAACATTTGGACATATTTCCCTAAGACACCTGCTGACCTTGTTCATCTATCAGTAAAATAGGTAGCTGGGCATTAGTTAACTGGTGTGGGTCGCATCCTGGGTACAGAACTGCCCTGATTTGCCTGAAATGTTCTGTATAATAAGGGGCTTTCTATATAGTAGTACATCATTGATGTCAGCAAGGTCTGTAAACGTTGTATATGTACTTGTAGAAATAAAGATTATTATTATTATTAACCCTTTGACTGTCGCGGCCGTATATATACGTCTTATGAGGTACCGTGTTTGACGTATATATACTCATAAATTCTAGTGGCTTCAAATCAAGCAGGAAAAAGCTGGTAGGCCCAGATGTGAGAGAATGGGTCTGTGTGGTCAGTGTGCACCATATAAAAAAAATCCTGGAGCATGCAGTGCATAATGAGAAAAAAAAAACTCCGACCGTTTTCTTTAATTAAAATGCCGACTTTGTGGTCTATTTTCGTATAGTATTTATGGTTGTATTCTCGTTTTCTTGGTCTCATTTGATAGAATGGAAAACATATTATAGAAATAGAGGTGATTTTGATTGATTTTACTATAAAAAGAACCTGGAAATGGAGCTCAAAGTAGGGGAAATGTTTGATTTTTGCCGATGTTCAAAAGTAAACAAATGATGTCATTGTCCAATAAATGTTCAACTAGCCATTCTAATATGCAGTCATGAATGGGTTGATGTTATTTATACAATTATTACAGTATTGCAGTAGTCTGCATAATAGTAAGTCTTCTATTTTTTGTTTGAATAAAAATTCAAAATAGAAAGCAAGAGTAATATCAGAGGGGCCTGGAGACATGACTGACGAACAAAGAAAATGTTATTTTAGAGCCAGGAATGTCTGCATTATTCATTCTGAACCTTATTTTGAAATTGTCATATTTTTTAATTTTTGTGAAATTGGCCAAATTGCAAATTTCTGACCACATTATTGGGTAGTTGAAATCGGTAAATGGGCAGTTTCTTGTACTCAATCGATAGAAAAAACGGAGTTCTAAAGAAATAGCTACGAGTTTGGTCGTCTGGAACAATGGAATTAGCCGAAAATAGGGCTCAAAGTGGGCGAAATCGCCGATTTGTAAATATCGCCGAGGTCGCTAACTTCACGAGAGCATAATTCCGTCAGTTTTCCATCAAATTTCGTTTTTTTGGTGTCATTACAATTGGGAAAAGATTCTCTATCATTTCATAAGAATTTTTTTTTTTCTTTTTAAATTTTGCGACACCAGGAGACACCTCAGGATTGGGGGTTGCGACAGTCAAGGGGTTAATGTTTCTAAATAAAGATGCCCAGGTGTTGCACATATATCTTATTCATTAAGGGACTCAAGTTAAATAAATTTAGAGAAAGCACAGGTTTGTCAGTATACTAGCTGTATACCTTATGATAGTAAGGTAAAACTACATAGTATATACTTCTATATATATGTGTGTGGCAATAGTGTGTTTACATATAAGTTACAATTAGCACAGTAACCTGGAGGAGTGGCATGTTAGTCATGCAGAGAATAACCAGAGTATTGTTAAATAATGGAGAAGTTGATTGAACTTTCTGAAAGCTTGAAAGAAGTGGCTTCAACTCTTTGACTGTCGCAAACCCATTTCTGAAACTGTCATCTTATGTTGCAAAATTTTTGGAAACAAAAAAATTACTTTTTCTTATGAAATGATAAAGAATCTTTTCCCGATGGTAATGACACCAAAAGTACGAAATTTGATTGAAAACTTACTGAATTACGCTCCCGCGAAGTTAGCGATCTCGGCAATACATGTATATACCCATCGGGGATTTCGCCGACTTTGAGCCCTATTTTTGGCCAATTCCGTTGTTCCAGTCGACCAAATTCATAGCTATTTCTTTAGAACTCCATTTTTTCTATCAGTTGAGTTCAAGAAACTGCCCATTTACCAATTTCAACTTACCAATAAAGTGTTCAGAAATTGTCAATTTGGCCAATTTCACACACATTAAAAAAGATGCCAGTTTCAAAATAGGGTCCAGAATAAACAATGCAGACATTCTTGGCACTAAAATAACATATCCCCTGTTTATTAGTCAAGTCTCCAGGCCCCTCTTATATTACTCTTGCTTTCTATTTTGATTTTTTATTCACACAAAAAATAGAAGATTTACTGTTATGCAGACTACTGCATTATTGTAAAACTGGTAGAAATAATATCACTGCACTAGTGAAAGAATATTAGACTCCCCAGTTGACGTGTATTGGACGTGTGGTGTGATTTGCTTACCTTGAACATTGGTAAAAATCGAACAGTTCCGCTACTTTGAGCTCAATTTCAAGGTCGTGTTTTTTTGTGAAACTAATCAAAATCATCTCTATTTCTGTAACGTGTTTTCCGTTCTATCAAGTGAGACCAAGAAAACGAGAATACAACCATAAATACTATACGAAAATACACCTCAAAGTCGGCGTTTTAATCCAAAAAAAAAAAAGGTCGGAGTTTTTTTCTCATTATGCCCTGTGTGTTGCAGGATTTTTTTATACAGTGCACACTGACCACACAGACCCATTCTCTCACATGTAGGCCTACCAGCTTTCTCCTGCTGGATTTGAAGCCTCTAGAATTATTGAGTATACATATACACCTACCACCCGACTTACGACCTGCTCGACTTACGACCACTCGACTTACGGCCATGTTTTTTATGCCAAATTTCTGGGAAATAAACAACTATTTGTGTTGTACACTGTTTATCCTAAACCTTACAGTATAAAATACAGTACTAACAACATAAAAGTAAAGTAAAACATGAAATACCAAAATAAAACAATAAAATAAAGTCATTACAAAAATGTTTTGTATATATTCAGTAGTAAAGTTCGACTTACGACCATTTCGACTTACGACCGGTTTCTCGGAACCGAACTCGGTCGTAAGTTGGATGGTAGGTGTATATGTCCGAAACACTGGCTCGTAAGACATATACATATACAGTTGACCCCCGGTTAACGATTTTAATCCGTGCAAGAGGGCTCATCGTTATGCGAAATAATCGTTATGCGAATTAATTTTCCCCATAAGAAATAATGGAAATAAAATTAATCCGTGCAAGACGCCCAAAAGTATGAAAAAAAATTTTTTTTACCACATGAAATGTTAATTTTAATACACACAAACTGAAAAAGGGGGGCACAATTACATGACATTACTTTTATTGAAGATCTGGTGATGATTGATGGGATGGGAGGAGGGGAGAGCATTATCTTCTACTGTTTAGAAGGGGAATCCCTTCCATTGGGACTTGAGGTAGCATTCCTTTTCTGGGGTTACTTCCTTCTTCTTTTAATGCCACTAGGACCACTTCAGAGTCACTGGACCTCTGTCGCACAACAAAATCTGTCATAGAGCTCTGTACCCCCCGTTTCTTCAAGACTTTCCTAAAATGGGCCATAACATTGTCATTGAAATAGTCACAAGCACGGCTTGCAACAGGCTGTGTCAGGGTGATTTTCATCTATAAAGGTTTGCAGTTAAAACCCACTCTGCACACATTTCCTTAATCTTTGAAGTAGGCACAAGGGATTCCACAACTGCATAGGCTTCTCAGGGTTAGCCCCAAACCCTTCAAATTCTTTCTTAATTTCCATACTAATTCTCACCCTTTTTACCACAGGTTGGCACTAGAAGCTTTCTTGGGGCCCATGGTCACTTATTTTCCAGAAACCCCACCGAAAACACTGTAATAATACGAAATATTCCGAGTGTATGCTTGGATGTTACCGCGGAGGCTGGCTGGTAAACAATGGGACGGCCGGCACATGTGAGGGCACATTGGACGCGTCTCGGACGAAAATCGGTATGCGGGTTTTTAATCGGTATGCGGGGCAAAAATTTTGCGATAAAAGTAATCGTTATGCGGAAAAATCGCTATGCGATGCCATCGTTATGCGGGGGTCCACTGTACGGCCGAAACAGTCAAAGGGTTAAAGTACTGTGATGGTTTTGTTATGCAAGAAAGACTCTACTATTTAATTTTGTTTTTTTCAAATTCCATATATGTGCATTTTATATCTCGCTGATTTTGTACTCGGCAGATGCTGCGGATCGCTACACGGCAGATAGAATGCATAAGTATTGTAGGCGTACGCTACCGTTATTGTAAGAAGCCAAAATCTTGGTATACTGGACAAATAAAGAAATCAGAAACCTCACCAGTTACTTGGTCATCTGGGGAATTAACACACCCAGCCCCATTAGATTGTCCTATCGGGAATAAAGGAGAATACCCTCAGGATCTACCAGATGGTGGTCGGCAGTATTTCGGATTTCAGTATTATCCAAGGTATTGGTTTAAATCACATATTGTACTCTATTTTCCATTCATTTTTCCCACTGTTTGTTTAGGCTTTAATAACTGAGTAACTAATTACATGTACTGGCTCTGCCATTTTTTTTGGTTTTTATTATTACCAGATAATTTTAATGATTTATAGATTTCACTCACTACTGAAACTAAAAGGCTGTCATGCTATTAAATTTAAAGTACTATAAATTTGAGGCCATTACCTAGTATATGGCTATACAACCTACAGTGCTTCATAATGTAGTTAATTTTGTAAAGTTACATCTTGAAGTCATGTACCCAGACAAAAAATTAATTCCTCTCTATTTTAAATTTGTATATCCTCTTCATCTCTTTATATGTGGTTTGTTGTCTTTCTTTTAACTTGATTAAAACGTTACTTATTATTTATAACATTAATAGAAACTTTTTTTTTCAGGTCATCCTACTGAGGTAGGGTGACCTGAAAAAGAAGAAATACTTTCACCATCACTCACTCAATCACTGTCTTGCTAGAGGCATGCCAGTACAACAGTTTAGATGCTCTTCCAAAAGGCAGATATACCTCCCTACTTTAGAGTGTGAGCACTTCACTTCCCATCTCCAGGACTCCAGTCTGGCTAACTGGTTTCCCTGAATCCCTTCATAAATGTTTCCTTGCTTAAACTCCAACAGCACGTCAAGTCATAAAAATCACTTCCTTCCACTCCTATCAAACACACTCATACATACTTGCTGAATGTCTAAGCCCCCTCACATACTAAAACCTCCTTTACCCCCTCCCTCCAACCCATCCTAGGGTGACTTCTATCCTACCTTCCCTCCACTACAGATTGATACACCCTCCAAGTTATCCTATTTTCCTCCATCCTCTCAGTGTTCGAAATGCCTCAACAGTCCCTCCTCAACCCTCTAGATAATACTTTTAGTAACCCCACACTGCCTTCTAATCTCCAAGCTATGAATTCTCTGCATAATACTCAGGCACAACATTTCTACTGCCTCCAGGCTCCTCTTTCCTGCAACATTCATAACCCATGCTTCACACCCATATAAGAGTGTTGGGGCACCACTGTACTCTATATATTTTCCTTTTTGCATTTATGGATAATGTTCTCTGTCTCCAGAGATGGCTCAATGCACCACCCACCTTTTTTCCTTCATCAGTTCTTTGGTTCACCTTGTCTTTCGTAGACCAGTCTGCTGATAAGTCCACTTCCAAATATCTGAACACATTCACTTCCTCCATACTTCCTCCAATCTGATATCCAGTCTTTCATTACCTAAATTTTTTGTTACCCTCATCATCTTGCTGTTTACCATATTCACTTTTAAATTCCTTCTTTTACATACATATTATTGAATTCATTAGAATTTTGAGTTGTAAAAGATAAGTGAACTTATGTTTCTGTATTGACAAATAAGTAATCACACACAAACAAAAAACATGAAGTAAACTCATCATTAACTTGCTTTTAGGTTCCCGGATGAGGTGGATCCTCCCTATGATCCTGCACCACTGCACCTCGTTACCAGAGTGAGATGTCTCAAGCATAAGCCATGGTGGGACAAAGAGATCATGAGAAGTCTTGGCCTCGATGCAAAGGTATACAAATATTTAAGAATATTATTGTGAAGTGATCTAACATTTAAAGAGCAAAGCAAAGTGTGTAAATCAAACCATGGCCAGGATAGTGATAGAATGGATTAAGAAAACTATAGGGATACCATGAAACTGACTACTTGTCAAAACATTTGTGCACTTATTTAGAATACTGTTCATGATGTTTTGTACTCACATATGCTTTTAAAATGGGATGCATCTTTACTAGAAAATATGAAGAGATCTTAAAAGATACATAGAATTTGTAAACTAATTAAACTGCTGGGACTGCTTGAAGTTAGTAAATATATTCTCTGTACTGGATACATAAGAAATGTCTCATAATCTATATTGTTCATAGAAAATACTTAAAGGGCCTGATTCCTAATATGCATATTAAAGTAGCCTCTTACCGAAGTGAGACACAAATAGGGAAGTGTAAAACATCTATCAAGAAGCTTGGGTGCCATAAGAACAGTTAAGAGAGCAGTGACTTAGTATCTGAATTCCACAAGTTTTCAACATTTTGCTTTACAATCAAATATAGTACAGTATAAGAAATGTTACTAGAATGACAAGAAAGATGTTTTCAAAACAAAACCAGACAAGTTCCTGCAAGTGGTGCTTGATCAGACTGGCTGTGATACTGTAGCTGTATGGGCTTGAAAGCCAACCTGAAGCCTGGCTTCAGGCTGGGCTGTGAGAGAAGCCAAATTCTTGAAACCATTCACCAGTCACAGATTACAGTTTTAAAGTGTAGATGCTTGACAAATTATTAATAAATATTAAAAGATATTGTATTGCTAATAATTTTGTTATGGTAATTTACAAAATTTTTTTTTTTTCAACAAACCAGCCGTACCCCACCAAGGCAGGGTGGCCCAAAAAGGAAAACAAAGTTTCTCTTTTTAAATTTAGTAATTTATACAGGAGGGGTTACTAGGCCCTTGCTCCCGGCATTTTAGTCGCCTCTTACAACACGCATGGCTTATGGAGGAAGAATTCTGTTCCACTTCCCCATGGAGATGAGAGGAAATAAACAAGAACTAGAAAGAAAATAGAAGAAAACCCAGAGGGGTGTATAAATATGCTTGTACATGTATGTGTAGTGTGATCTAAGTGTAAGGAGAAGTAGCAAGACATATTTGAAATCTTGCATGTTTATGAGACAGAAAAAAGGACACCAGCAGTCCTACCATCACGTAAAACAGGCTCTCGTTTTACACTCAGGTAGTAGGGCTACCAACCTACTACCTTGGTTACAACATGTTATATTCGAGAAAACTTGCATCATCACTTAGTAGATATCTTTAGTAGCTATCTTTTCACAGTACTTCTGCTGTGTAGTGATAAGTGAATCTTATTAGTGTATTACTCCCTATAGATATAATAATAGTAATCACTTGCCCTACTATAAAAATAAGTTATGTGAGTGGCTCTTCTGACAGTGTGGCATGTATTGTACATTGAAAAGTCTTCCCTTCAATCTTTTATGTACTGGTACAGTACTACCATGTAGTCAAGCAGACAATGTTAGTAAAGATTAGAATTACAGTATTATGCTGAACTACAGTAAATTGGTAACCACTTTCTGGCCGTAAGAGGTGATTAAAATGCTGGGAGCAAGGGGCTAGTAACCCCTTCTGTATACATTACTAAATTTAAAAAGAGAAACTTTCATTTTTCTTTTTAGGTTACCCTGCCTCAATGGGATATGGCTAGTTTGTTGAAAAAAATAAAATTCTGGTTGCTGATTAGAAAGTTTAATTTAAGAATATAAGAATGGTGGATATGGGCAGTTTGTTGAAAAAAAAAAATTGTGGTTGCTGATTAGAAAGTTTAAGAATATAAGAATGGAGAATTTCAGCAGACCTGCTGACCTATGCTAAGCCAGTCCTCAAATCTAAACCCTCTCACTTAAATATTTATACATTTTTTTTTTTTATAACAAGTCGGCCGTTTCCCACCGAGGCAGGGTGACCCAAAAAGAAAGAAAATCTCCAAAAAGAAAATACTTTTATCATCATTCATCACTCGCCTCACTCACACATAATCACGGTTTTTGCAGAGGTGCTCAGAACACAACAGTTTAGAAGCATATACGTATAAAGATACACAACATATCCCTCCAAACTGCTAATATTCCGAATCCCTCCTTTAGAGTGCAGGCGTTGTACTTTCCATTTCCAGGACTCAAGTCCGGCTATATAAAATAACCGGTTTTCCTGAATCCCTTCACTAAATATTACCCTGCTCACACTCCAACAGATTGTCAGGTCCCAAATACCATTCGTCTCCATTCACTCCTATCTAACATGCTCACGCATGCTTGCTGGAAGTCCAAACCCCTCACCCACAACACCACCTTTACCCCCTCCCTCCAACCTTTTCGAGGACGACCCCTACAGATTTATACACTCTCCATGTCATTCTACTTTGATCCATTCTCTCTAAATGACCAAACCACCTCAACAAACCCTCTTCAGCCCTCTGACTAATACTTTTATTAACTTCACACCTTCTCCTAATTTCCACACTCCGAATTTTCTGCATAATATTTACACCACACATTGCTCTTAGACAGGACATCTCCACTGCCTCCTTGCTGCAGCATTTACAACCCAAGCTTCACACCCATATAAGTGTTGGTACTACTATACTTTCATACATTCCCTTCTTTGTTTCCATAGATAACATTTTTTTGCCTCCACATATACTTCAATGCACCACTCACCTTTTTTCCTTCATCAGTTCTATGATTAACCTCATCCCTGAATCCCTTCATTAAATATTACCCTGCTCACACTCCAACAGATCATCAGGTCCCAAATCCCATTCGTCTCCATTCACTCCTATCGAACACGCTCAAGCACGCCTGCTGGAAGTCCAAGCCCCTCGCCCACAAAACCTTCCTTACCCCTTCCTTCCAACCTTTTCGAGGATGACAAGGCACAGTACTCGCCCCCATCTTATTCCTTATCCTCATATCAGACATAAACAGAGATATACACCACAGCACCGTATCATCCTTTGCGGATGATACTAGGATCTGCATGAGGCTGTCATCTGCTGAGGATGCGGTTAACCTCCAAGAAGATATAAACAAAGTTTTCCAGTGGGCAACGGTAAACAATATGATGTTCAATGAGGACAAATTCCAACTACTCCGTTATGGAAAACTGGAGGAAATAATAACTAGAACAGAGTATACTACTGACTCCGGCCATACAATAGAGCGGAAAAATAATGTAAGGGACCTGGGAGTAGTAATGTCTGAGGATCTCACTTTCAAGGATCACAACAGTGCCACGATCGCACGTGCAAAGAAAATGATAGGATGGATAATGAGAACTTTCAAAATGAGAGATGCCAAGCCCATGATGATCCTTTTCAAATCACTTGTTCTCTCTAGGCTGGAATACTGCTGTACATTAACATCTCCATACAAAGCAGGTGAAATCGCAGATCTAGAGAGTGTACAGAGATCCTTTACTGCACGTATAAGTTCTGTCAAGCACCTTAACTACTGGGAACGCTTGAAAGCACTTGACTTGTACTCGTTGGAACGCAGGAGGGAGAGATATATCATAATCTACACTTGGAAAATCTTGGAAGGAATGGTCCCAAATCTGCACACAGAAATCACTCCCTACGAAAGTAAAAGACTGGGCAGGCGATGCAAAATGCCGCCAATAAAAAGTAGGGGCGCCATTGGTACACTAAGAGAAAACACCATAAGTGTCCGGGGCCCAAAACTGTTCAACAGCTTCCCACCAAGCATTAGGGGAATTGCCAATAAACCCCTGGCTGCCTTCAAGAGAGAGCTGGACAGATACCTAAAGTCAGTGCCGGATCAGCCGGGCTGTGGCTCGTACGTCGGACTGCGTGCGGCCAGCAGTAACAGCCTAGTTGATCAGGCCCTGATCCATCGGGAGGCCTGGTCGTGGACCGGGCCGCGGGGGCGTTGATCCCCGGAATAACCTCCAGGTAACCTCCAGGTACCCCGCCTTCCTTCCTCTACAGATTTATATGCTCTCCATGTCTGTTGTATTTTTAGCCTCAGTGGCCCTACTTTGCTGATTGTTCAATTCATCATTAACTCCTGCTGAACCAGTACTTTCCTACAAAATTTTCTAAATCTAAACTTATCCACTTTAAATCCATTATTTCGAGTTCTTTCTTAGTTGGATATCCTCAGTACCTGTCTTCCAATGGTATAGGAACATTAGTGATAAAAATACTGTAGTACGTACATATATGAGGTTTCTTGACTTTACCACTTTTGTGACCATAATTCGTGGAGATGTGTCTGAGGGCAATGTGTGGTGTGAATATAATGCAGAGAATAGAGATTAGAAGGAAGTGGGTTTTTTTAAAGTATTATCCAGAAGGCAGAGGAGGGGTTGTTGAGATGGTTTAGACATTTAGAGAGGATGGAACAGAATAGAATGACTTGGAGGACATATAAATCTGTAGTGGAAGGAAGGTGGGGTAGGGGTTGCCCTAGAAAAGGTTGGAGGGAGGGGGTAAAGGCAGTTTTGTGTAGGAGGGGCTTGGACTTGCAGCAGATGTGCATGAGCATGTTAGATAGGTGCAAGTTTATGGCATAACATGCTGTTGGAGTGTGAAAAAAGTAACACTTGTGAAGGTATTCAGGAAAACCGGTTGCTGGACTTGAGTCCTGGAGGTGGGAAGTACAGTGCCTGCACTCTGAAGGAGGGGTGTTGATATGTTGTATTTTTGTGACTAGTGTAGGCACATCTCTGGCAAGACAGTGATGGAGTGAATGATGATGGAAATTTTTCTTCTTTTTTGGGTCACCCTGCCTCTGTGGAAATAGCCGATGTGTTAATAAAAAAATATAAAAAAACAGCTAATGGCGTAAGTTTAGGGTTCGAAGAACTTACCTTCACTAGTTTTTTTCACAAGGTTCATTATGCATTTGCTGTTTCAAGGATTTAAAATACAGAATATTTTTTAGCAAGTAGTAAAGAGCTGTACGTATTTGGTAAAAAGGGAACATTTTATGATTAATATTCTTTAATGAATTTTATAATTCATAGATATAGGCATCTGATTACAAGCAAGTTAATGGAATTTTACTTATTTTATTTTTATTTTAACAGAGAAGTACAGTTGCAATTGTCAAGAACATTCCTGAAATTAATGCAATGCTGTGGAAAGTGAAATATCTTGTCAAAATCACACCTATAAGAGTACCTGCAGACCTTCCTGATGATGTTGACCCCAGATGCTGTTTCTTAAAGGTAAAGGGTTTATAAGTGCACCTATTGTTTATACAGTAGTCCTCCGTATCCATCGGGGATACATTCCAAGAGCTACTGTGGATACCCAAAACCATGGATAGTAGTGAATCCTATATAGTAATAGTCATTTTTCATTTACATACATGCCTATGATAAAGCTTAAAATTTATACATTATGTACAGTTAGTCGAGAATTAGCACTTTTTCACTGATTTCACTTTTTCATGGCTTTTCTTAAGCTTTGAAGAATTAACATTACTACTATTGCACTTTGGGCCTGTTATTAATCAAAATTAAGAGTTATTTTAGAGCATGGTAAATTACGGATAACTGAAACTACTGAAACTGATTCCATGGATACAGGAGTTCTACTGTAATTGGTTTAATTACAAAGTCTAGAAAATGAAATAGTAGTAGTCAGAATGGATGCTAGGAGTTTAAAGGAAAGCAGTGTACAGTATTTATATGGGAGTAGCTGTACAGTGTTGACATGTGGAAGAAAATTACTACTAACGATGGCAGAGGCTTGAAGGATGTTATGCAGAGGAAGATGGAGTTACTGCTGGTAATAAATATTGTCCATTCATATTGTTGACTCACCGCCCAGTGTTCACTGTTTTGGAAAGCACAGGAGCAGTGATAGTGATACCCCAGTGCCACAGAAAATGAAATATGTAACACATGTAATGTATATTGTAGAATTATTTCAGGAGTGAGAGATGAGAGAGAGAATGAGAGAGAGAGAGAGAAAGAGAGAATGAGAGAGAGAGAATGAGAAAGAGAGAATGAGAGAGAGAGAGAGAGAATGAATGAATAAATCTTGCTCAAAGATACATGTATTTTGTATATATGAGAGAGAGAGAAAAAAAAAGAAAAATAATGGCAACTATGGAATGAGTGATGGCAAATGTATTTTTGTTTTTGGGTAATTATTCTTTGATAGTAGAACACCATTCTTGGATAGCAGATCACCAGTCATGCAGATAAAACAAAATTGACACTTCAGTGTCCAGTGCACTGTACCAAGGTGTGTCACATTGCTATACTATTGTTTTATCAAGTGTTTAAAATGAAAACTTGATTTCCCATCATATTAGATTGTCTTGTATACTATATTTTGCATGAGTTCTTTTGAGTTTGTCTTGGGCATGTAGCCCAATCTTCAGTGTTTGTAGTTTTATTACTGTAATATGTAATGGTCAAACAGTAAATCCTTTATCTCTTTCAGGAGACTGGAGAATTTCTACACTCTAAAGAAGTGCAGGTGGAGGATAAAGATCTTGATGAGAGCCCACAAATTGCTGCCACTAAGTGGAATGGAGAGTTTGTTGAGAAGCACGTACGGAAGAACTGGGAATACCCATGGCAGCTCAAAGTTTGCTAAGTCATATAATAGAATGTTTTATATTGATAGTAAAGATGATGCTTGGAAACAATGTAGACTGTAGTCTTTAATAATATTGTAGTAAGGTAAAGATATAGTATATGTATAAAATATGAAGGGGTTCAGGGAAACCGGCAGGCCGGACTTGAGTCCTGGAGATGGGAAGTACAGTGCCTGCACTCTGAAGGAGGGGTGTTAATGTTGCAGTTTAAAAACTGTAGTGTAAAGCACCCTTCTGGCAAGACAGTGATGGAGTGAATGATGGTGAAAGTTTTTCTTTTTCGGGCCACCCTGCCCTGGTGGGAATCGGCCAGTGTGATAATAATAAATATTTAGTAATTTACCATACAGATATTTAATAAGCATTTTGATAAATTATTACTGTATGTGTACATTATGTAACATTTTCATAATACCATGATTTTTGTAATACGTACTTTAACATTGGCCACATCCCCCGTCAAGGTAAGGCGACCCAAAAAAGAAAACACATTCAAGAACTTGGCCCTCTAGACAACATCCCCTTACTTCAGAGGGGGATATGGTTTCCATGAATTCCTTTATAAAGGTTATCTTGCTCACAGTTCAACAGCAAGTCAAACCCTAAAAACCACTTACCTCCACTCACTTTGATCTAATACACTTACACATGCCTGCTGGATGCCCAAACTTCTACCACTTAAGTTTCCTTCACCCACTCCCTCTTTCCTTTCTGGGGCAATGCCTATGGCTCATTCCCTCCATCCTAGATTTATACACCCTCTTTGATATCCAGTTCTGCTCCATCTTTTCTAAATGGCTGGACCACCTAAACAACTCCTCCTCCTTTGAATTTTACCTTTTGTAATGCCACACCATCCTTAAATTTTCTGTATTGTGTTCACACTACACATTTCTCTCAAACATTACATTCACTACCTCCTGTCTATTCCTCGCTACAGTGTTTAACCCTTTCAGGGTTGAGAGGCCCTCTCCTAAACTTGTTCTCAGGGTCAAAAATTTTTCGAAAAAATAAAAATTATTTTTCTTATGAAATGATAGAGAATCTTTTCCTGATCATAATGACACCAAAAGTTTGAAATTTGATGGAAAACTTACGGAATTATGCTGTTGCGAAATTAGCGGTCTCGACTATGTTTACGCATCGGCGATTTCGCCCACTTTGAGCCCTATTTTCGGCTAATTCCAATGTACCAGTTGACAAAAGTCATAACTATTTCACTGGAACTCCATTTTTTCTATCGAATGAGTACAAGAAACCACACTTTTACTGATTTCAACTATCCAATAAAGTGGTCAGAAATTGGCAATTTTGTCATTTTCACACAAATTTCAAAACATGCCAATTTCCAAATAGGGTCCAGAATAAACAAGACAGACATTCCTGGCACTAAAATAACATTTTCTCTGTTCATTAGTCACATCCCCAGGCTCCTCTTACATAGCTTTTGCTTTCCACTTTGAATTTTTATTCTCACAAAAAATAGAAGATTTACTGTTATGCAGACTACTGCATTAGTGTAAAACAGTATAAATAACATCAGCACACTTACAAAAGAATATTAGACTCACCAGTTGACGTGTATTGGACACGTGGCATGATTTGTTTACTTTTGAGCATTGGCAAAAATTGAACATTTCTGCTATTTTGAGCTCAATTTCAAAGTACTTTTCATTCTGAAACCAATCAAAATCATCTCAATTTCTGTAATATGTCTTCCACTCTATAAAATGAGACCAGGAAAACTAGAATACAGCCATAAATACCATACGAAAATACACTGCAAATTCGCTGTTTTAAACCAAAAACACGGTTGGAGTTTTTTTTTCTCATGCACTATGTGCTGCAGGATTTTTTTATACTGTGCACACTGACTACATAGACCCATTCTTTCATATGTAGGCCTACCAGCTTTCTTTCGCTAGATTTGAAGGCCCTAGAATTTACGCGTACTAGTACAGCACCAACCCTGGCGTGCAAGCCGTACTAGTACAACACTGACCCTGAAAGGGTTAAAAACCATGCCTCACACCTATATAAGCATTGTTATATCCATTCTCTAGTATAATATCTTTTTTTTTGCCTCTGTAGATAAGCATCTTTCTTTCTTTCCACAAATGCCTCGAACATACCACCTACCTATTTTCCCTTGTCTTTTTCTGGTTTACCTTATCATTTGAAGATCTATTGGCTGACAGATCCAATCCTAAATATCTCAGTATATTCATTTCCTCCTTTTTCACTTTCTGAACACTGTTTCCAAACCTCTATTTTTCTCTTTATATACATACTCTACCTTCCATATACATATCATTTTTATACTGTAAAAACCTCTCTTAAGCTCACTTTTCTTAACTTTGTCATTCTACCAATCATTCTTTTTCCCACCCACACTCCTGTATCCACAGTTGTCTGTTGCACACTTGAGCACTATATCTTATGTCTGCCTCATAACACTTCGACCTCCTTATCACCTATACTCTCTCTAGCCTACCTGTCTCGGTAATTGCATGTATCACTCACTAACTGCCCCTTTCTTTACTTAAATTTTTACTTCTCTTACACCCTTAGACATCATTTTTCTTGTACTCCACCTGCCTCTTCCTCTTACTGTAACTACCAGCATAATGATCTGAGATTTCACTCACTCCTCTAGAAACACGTACATCCAAGAGTCTACCTAGCAACCTTTTACTCACTAATAAATAGTTAGACAAATTGCTGTCATACACATCATCATACCTTTTATATACTTATCCTCTTGTTTCATTTCATATCTTCTCTGTTTATTTATCCTCTTTTTTTCTTAAAATAAATTTTACCTATTTCTAAACCTTTTTCAACACACAATTTGGTACATATATTAAACTTTGTGTATTTATCTTTATTTAGAGATAGTTTGTGGATATAAAAAGAAGAATTTCATTGGCAATTTATTCATGTTGCATGAAGTGTCAAGATGATGTCAGGTTTACACTTCATGTTAAGGAACTACAGTTGCAGGAAGTAAACCTTCACAGAAGGCTTGCACATCTTGCATAAGTCAATAATGAATAAATATTCTGTGTGATAACATAATATCAAGCATTAAAGATTCACAAATGTAAGTTACATCTTAAATAAGGCTTATTTTATAAATTAAAGAAAATTAAGGCTCAGTCTATTTTTAAATATAAAAAAATTGTGAAAGTACACATATGTTTATTTTCTAGAGGATGTTTTGAATACTTAAATCATGTGCATTTTTGGATTCTCATTACACAACTGTATCCCTGTTTTTCTATGTATAAGCTAATTGATTGTTAGTCTTTGTATGAGCTATGTAACAATACAATACTGTCAAGTTATTGGTTCAGGATTATGCAAGTTCATAAAATATTTTTTATTGGTTGTATTCTTATTAGTAACCATTAAGTTGCAGTTTATAGTGAGATAATGCCTAAGTACTTGTGCTTTCTTTATACTGTACTTAGGAATCAAGCCTTGTTATTTTCTTTTTCTTAATGAAACCTTATTTTGTGTTTGAAACATGACTTTCTTTAACCATCCTAAGACAAGTAATTTTCTTAATGAAGCACACTGCATTTTGATCTTGTCTCAGCAAACAGGCACTTGTGCACACATGTACACACATACAATCCCTAATTAAAACAGGAGTAATCGTGATTAATCTGTGCAGAGAAACTGCCTTGATGCAAGACCTGATATCACGGAACTAACTTTTCTTGCGAATACAACATAATTGTGGTCTTCAAAATTGTCTACCCATTTTTTAAATTATTTTGTAAATTTACACTAATATGCACAAGTGATTTCAGTACAATATTACTATTTCTCTTCAAAATTTGGGCATCAGTTTTATTTGGGTGATCAAACCAGTCTTAAGATATTTGCATAAATAAATATTTTGCTTTACTGGAGAAGCTATAATGGTCTCTGCATCACACATTGATTAATTAGCCAAACTATGAGCTGACAATATGTCAGGTCTGAACACTAAAATAGTAGGTACTGTATCTGATAGTGTTTAAACATTAAAAAAAAAAATCACATTTACTTTTCACTTGAGCATTAGGTCATCACATCAACAGAATTTTCTCCTGAAAGAATGACCACGACAGGGAGATAATAGTAGTTTTCAAGGAGTTAGTGTTGGTAGCATATCATGGAAGATAGTAGACTAATCTTTATGGAGTGCAATGGCAGTTATTTTCCTGAGCATGATGTGCCACAGCATAACACCAAAACATCATAATTAAAAGGTTAAATAAGCATAGTTTTCTGAAATGTGGAATGTTGAATAAAAATTGCACTCCAAACATCCAGAGGGAATTGCAGAAAATATAATATGGTACAGAATAAGACAGTATGATATTCAGTTTGATGTCAGAGTTCCTTAGCATTTCAGAAAAGCTAGTAAAAATTGGCAATTTTTAACCTGCCAACTCAATAAAAAATTCTGAATCTTCACTAGGCAGGATAGCCCAGTGTTGAGGGTTTTAAGTCAATTAAAGAAGCATGCATAAGTTATCGCATGGCAAACAATTTCCCAACTTGTTCAATAAAACTGGCACATTGGAATCTCTACAACCACTCTAAACTTTCCATTAAACACTATACACCAGTGTTGAGAGTTTAAAGTTAGTCAGAAGAAGCATCCTTAGGCATTGCATAGAATAATAAATAGGTAAATAAAATAAGTAAATTGGCACAAAGCCCAATAACATTGTAACCTTTGAGCATAATACATTAACACAAAGTTTGAAGCTAATAAAAAAAAGGCATTCTCCAGTTATTGCACAGAAGCCAATATTCCCTATTTTCTGTTATAAAATAGCAAATTTGTATCTACATAGCCGAAGGCTGTACTGAGCCTTTCTTTTGATTAAATGCTTCAGTGTTGTAAGATCCAAAGATACATTTTTGAGTTTTACACTGAAAAAATATCACATTTTTTAAATAAAACTGGCACCTACTCTCCGAACCTTCAAGTAGGAAACACCTGCATTGAAAGCTTGAAGCCCCTCAAAAGAGGTATTTTTAAGTTATCACACAGAAACCATTACACCATTTTCATTTATATAATTAGCAAATTATTAGGTAGTAGGCTGGTAGACAGCAATCATCCAGGGGGGTACTACCGTCCTGCCAAGTGAGTGTGAAACGAAAGCCTGTAATTGTTTTACATGATGGTAGGATTGCTGGTGTCTTTTGTCTGTCTCGTAAATATGCAAAATTACAGGTACGTCTTGCTACTTCTACTTATACTTAGGTCACACTACACACACATGTACAAGCATATATATATACACACCCCTCTGGGTTTTCTGCTATTTTCTTTCTAGTTCTTGTTCTTGTTTATTTCCTCTTATCTCCATGGGGAAGTGGAACAGAATTCTTCCTCCGTAAGCCATGTGTGTTGTAAGAGGCAACTAAAATGCCAGGGGCAAGGGGCTAGTAACCCCTTCTCCTGTATATATTACTAAATGTAAAAGGAGAAACTTTCATTTTTCCTTTTGGGCCACCCTGCCTCGGTGGGATACGGCCAGTGTGTTGAAAGAAGAAAGAAGAAGAATTAGCAAATTGGTACCTACACTGCCCAATAACAATTCAAGCCTTCCTTTAAGATACACCAGCATTATAAATGTTGAATACAGTCAGAATAGATGTGTTGGTAAAAAAAAAAATTCCTGATTTGCTATACATATTCTGTTCTCTTTTGGGAGTTACCTAATACAATGAAACCTCTATATCTGTTTCCATACTTTACACAATGGCATTTAAACCCATGTTGATACTACACAAAGCACTTGGGATTTTATGAAAATGGTGGACCATTGGTAAAGAGCTACCCAACTTTTGTGGAGGGTGGAATCACTTTGGAAGACTGCCTGGTATTTAAGTGTAATAATGATTGTTTTAGTTATTTACTATTACAGTGAAGTTTAATTGTACAGGTTTACCTGGCATTTTTACATTATCATTCTTCTTTCACTGAGGCAGGGTGGCCCAAAAGAAAAAAGAAAGTTTCTTTATTTAAATTTACTAATACATACAGAAGAAGGGGTTACTAGCCCCTTGCTTACGGCATTTTAGTTGCCTCTTACGACATGCATAGCTTATGGAGGAAGATTATCATTCTCTTTTTGTTTAAATCAGATGTTGCCCAGGCATTCCTCTTGTTCAGTTATACCTTACCAGTGACCCCTTGATTTGGAGACGAAAGAAAAATCCATAATAACAATGAAAGATCTCGTAGGCTGTATGGAAGAACAGTATTATGTTTTTGACATGGCTGGTAAGATATGGTATGAGTTTGATTCCTGGCCACAGTGAGGCTAATTTTTTTTTTTATATTACATGTATATTCCAGCAAGCGTGCGTGAGCGTGTTAGATAGGAGTGAATGGAGACGAATGGTACTTGGGACCTGACGATCTGTTGGAGTGTGAGCAGGGTAATATTTAGTGAAGGGATTCAGGGAAACCGGTTATTTTCATATAGTCAGACTTGAGTCCTGGAAATGGGAAGTACAATGCCTGCACTTTAATTAAAGGAGGGGTTTGGGATATTGGCAGTTTGGAGGGATATGTTGTGTATCTTTATATGTGTATGCTTTTAAACTGTTGTGTTCTGAGCACCTCTGCAAAAACAGTGATAATGTGTGAGTGTGGTGAAAGTGTTGAATGATGATGAAAGTATTTTCTTTTTGGGGATTTTCTTTCTTTTTTGGGTCACCCTGCCTCAGTGGGAGACGGCCGACTTGTTGAAAAAAAAAAAAAATGTATGTACACTGTACTACATTTTTTTTTCTCATTGGCTATTTCCCACCAAATCAGGATCACCCAACGAACAAAACACATAAAGTTTTTTGTCCTTTGCTTGAGTGCAGGGTAAGAGATAGCCAATCCATTGGCCATGGCTTTTTGGCTTCAGTACCTTTTATAGTACAACTATTGGGAAAGGATTCTCACCCACAGGGTATAAACGTATGTATATACTTTATAAAAATAATGGTTTTTCTATTTATGCAACTCACAGATGACAGGTTATAAAAATTACATATACTTAAATTATTAAAAAGTCAATTTACACAATAAATACATCACCAGTTCACATTAAACATGCTAATCACTGCACTGGTTCTGTATTAATAACTTGTATCACAGATTACAATGAACACAGTAGTGAAATAAAAAATTCACTCCACACCCCACTGTATTTAAATAATTAAAACAAATAAGTGAATGTAGCAGTAATATACATTAATTTTTTGTAATCATTCCCAGAGATGAGAATGAACAGAGGAGTGAAAGAAATCTACTATAAGCATCTCTTATACACTGATAAACACCTCTATGTCCCTTATATTTGATTACAAAGTGATGATTAACTCAGTGCCTTTAACATTTTATGCACTGTCTCTGCCCCTTAACATCACACTTATGATCACATTAACTATCTCAGTTTTTAACATCACTTTTTACAGTAATGACTGTTACAGTGTCCCTAACATCACACTTCTTACAATAATGTTTGCTACAGTGTCCCAAAAATCACACTTATAGCAATGTTTGTTACAGTGCTTAACTTCACATTTCTTACAGTAATTTGTTAAAGTACCTCTAACATCTCATTTCAAAATTTTAGAGCAAGGGTTTTTGATACTGTGATGATTGTCTCACTGCCCTAACATTCTTAAATTTTCAGGAATAACCATTTTAATGTCCCTAACATTCAGTTTTAAGGAAAATACAAATTTTTAATACTTTTATTATAGTATAGAATGTCATCTTTATCATAATTTAAAACTGAGGATATGATCTTTAAAAGTAATGTATACAAAATTACCTAACATACTGAGATCCAGAAATCCTTATCCATTGACCCCTCTCTCTGAGCAAGAACATTCATAATTACATGCCATTACCAGCTGCTCTGTTGTCAAGTGTGTCTACTGTTTCTTGTGCAGCCTGATTCTCGTATTCATTTTCAGGTTCATTCTCATATTCATTACCATTAGCATCAGTTTTTTCTACATCATCATTTTCCTCTTCAAGATCATTTCCCTCCTCTTCATTAAGGTCATTCTCATCCTCCTCCTCCTCCTCCTCCTCCTCTTGGTAATAATCATTTTTTTCATCTTCATCTACACTTACTGAATGCTTTACTGAAACAGTTGAAGTTAGTTTCAGATAAGGCTCAAGTTCATATTCAAACATTAAGAAGTCTATGATATATTTATAGTAAAGCTGCTTAACTTCATTTGAAGTCAGCTGGGAAAAATATGTCTTTGCCACATCAGAAGTTTTCTTTGTTTGATCTGTTTTGTGAGACCACTCCATGTGTACTGCACTGGAAAGGCCACGATGGTAGAGGATGAAGTCTGCATCTTTTGAGAGGGTTTCCATTTTAGCAATGATATCATACCTTATATGACAAGGAGTGCACAGAAGGGAGACTGGCCTCCAGTGCTCATCATATTCTTCCACATCAGTGTCGAGAAGATAATGGACAAATTCTCTGAATGTTGGTTCTTTTCTCAGGCTGTAGGTATGGTTTTCATCATCTGAGGTGAATTTACGGTAGGCTTTAACAATTCTTTTCCCATAAATTGCATAGTAATATCCACCCCTGGAAGTAGAGATATACAGTAGAGGAATTAATTTTCTCAGTAATAAAAATTAAATATTGTAACACAAAATGATCAGCATAGTACATTGTAATACATAGTACACAATGTGAAAATATTTGTTAAAGTTTTGCATGTACTGTACCTATATATCAAATGGGCTAAAATCTTAATAATATAACTGATTTTTTAAAATGGACTGCATTACATTTAGCTTTACTGATATAAAAGCATCAATTTGTTCTACTTCAGTTTTCAATGACCCACAGGGGTTAAGCACTTTCCATTAATGTATAATAACTCTCAAAAAATAAAAAGACAATCCGAGTGGTATGCTTCTAATTAGAAATTATCAATTGGTTTGCTTTGCTTGGGAAAAAACAAGTACTCTACTGCATGCTTATATAGATGAAAAGTTGCAATAAACTCAATCCAATATCACTATTACTGAATAAAGGTGTAAAGCCAACAAGTGGTAAATAAGATGCCAAAACACCTACTCCTTGTCAATATCCTGATGTGGGACTGAGCCAGGCTAAAGTTTCAAGAATAAAAAAAAAGATTAAATGCAGGTGTTTGCAATCATACTAAATAACACCATAAAACAAAATTGTGGTATACCAATTTTGGCAACTCCCATAAAAGACATCTCATCTTGGAACAAAGGAAATCTGGTACAGGCTAGCAGGCTTCCTGCAGTGCAAAAACTCGGTATATTCATTAACTGGCCCATGATAAGCAGGTTCTGGTCATATTCTACCCTTCTTCCTCGTATTTATCCAACCTTTATTTTACCCTTCTCTCTCATATTTGCTCAACCTATAAGTTTGCTTATCTAGGGACTTGATGTTGTCAGTCACATTTTTAAAACCCTTTGAGGGCATTCCTTGATGCCAATGAGGGGCTCTTGATCTAAGGAATTGGGCCTGCCCTCGCTTTCCTTGGATTGCACCTGAATGCCTCCCATTCCTCGAGGTGTTGTATGACCTCTAGAGGTATAGTGCTCCCCCATGTAATAATAATATTGGGATTCAGGGAAACTGGTTAGCCAGACTTAAGTCCTGGACATCAGAAGTACAGTGCCTGCACTCTGAAGGAGGGGTGGGGATATTGCGGTTTGGAGGGGCATCTGTAATATCAGCACATTTCTGGTAAGACAGTAATGGAGTGACAGTGCTGTATGACCCTTGTGGGTTTAGCACTTAGCTATGATTGCAATAATAATAAGTGGTGGGGTGAGTGATGGCAAAAGTGTTTCTTCTTTTATCAGGTCATCCTACCTCAGTGGCAGACAGTTGGTGTTAAAAAAAAAATAATAATATTATAAAGCTACACCTGATGCCCTATATAGGTTAAAGTTTTCTTGATCTATGTATAGTACTTATTATTGTCCACTCATAGGTGAGCTATTTTACCAATATACAGCACTGTATGACCCCGGTAGTTTAGCACCTAGTTTTGATTGTAATAATAATAATATACCAATATAGACTTCACAGCATTTAGTGTATATTTACCCTCATATTTTTTTACAAATCTCACTTAGGCAATCTTTGCAATAATACTAATTTTTAAATGAACATAGATATTGCAACAAATGGGTTCAACTCTCAACAGATTTAAAAAAAAGCTTCAAACCTTTAAAATTTTTGGCCAACTTTAGAATTTTTGTACTGTATAGTATTTCCTAAATATTTATGTAATAATTATTCTAAAGACTGATCCAAAAAGTAGTTAATCTCTCTTGTGGCTATACAAATAATAAATAATATTAATACATGTAATATAATATTATTATAATGTGTTAGACTGGAGTGGTGAGAATGTGCATTTTAATGCTTGACATGATGTTGAAGTATGAGCAAGGGAACATTTACAAAGGGATTCAGGGAAAGTGGTAAGCTAGATTCGAGTCCTCAAGGTGGGAAGGGCAGTGCTTGCACTCTTGAAAGAGGCGAGGATTTTGGAAGTGGAGGGTTATCTGAAATGTAATGTTACCACAGTTGTGGCAAGACAAGGAGTGAACGACTGTGAATGTGTTTCCTTCTTTGGATTGCCCTACCACAATAATAATTTTTTTTTTTAACAAGTCGGCCGTCTCCCACCGAGGCAGGGTGACCCAAAAAGAAAGAAAATCCCCAAAAAGAAAATACTTTCATCATCATTCAACACTTTCACCTCACACATAATCACTGTTTTTGCAGAGGTGCTCAGAACACAACAGTTTAGAAGCATATACATACGTATAAAGATACACAACATATCCCTCCAAACTGCTAATATCCCAAAACCCCTCCTTTAGAGTGCGGGCATTGTACTTACCATTTCCAGGACTCAAGTCCGGCTATATAAAAATAATAATAATAATACGTAATAATAATGATGAACTGAAAGTTTTTTTTTTTTTTTTCAACAAGTTGGCCATCTCCCACTGAGGCAGAGTGACCCAAAAAGAAAAATACTCTCATCATCATTCAAGACTTTCACCTCACTCATAAATAATCACATAATGAACTGAAAGTATGGTAACTAATTCCTCTCCAAAAAGGTATCAATATTTTCAGCAAAATTATAACCAAACAGGATAATTTAAAATTTTACTTTGGCCTTTACCTGTCTTTTATATCTCGTTCATAATCTTCCAATTTGTCTCGATATGCTGAGAGAACACGCTCAAATGGATGACGAACCACCTAGAAAAAGGTCACAGGAAATGGTGTTAAAAGTTAATGTAACAGAATAGTAGTGTTGCAGTTATGTAGCTGCAAAATTAGTAGAGGGCATGGCTTGTTTCAAACAAATTAATCCCTCTTGACATTATGAAGTGCTACAGCATTTTTCACTCCAAATATAATTTTTTCCAAAGCAACATTTCTTACTATTTCAGCAGTTTTTAGGGCATTTAGTGCATTTTTGTATTTAACAAAACCTCTTTTTTGTCTAGGTTCAGTACTGAACATGTCTCTTGAGTTTATATACTAAAATTGTTCTTTTATATATGTACATACATACAGTGGAACCCCGAGTTTCGGCCATAATTCATTCCAGAAGGCTGTTCGAGTGCCGTTACTGAACGAATTTGTTCCCATAAGGAATAATGTATATTAGATTAGTCCATTTCAGACCCCCAAAAATACACTTACAAAAGCACTTTCAATAATACACTTACATAATTGTTCAAGTTGGGAGGCAGCTGAAACTCAGGGTACCACTGTATAAGTAAAAAGATTACTACAAAACTTAAATATAGTCACTTCCATCTACACTTCAGAATATTATTAAAGAATAATTAAAATATCACCCTGCCTCGGTGGGAGACGGCCGACTCGTTGAAAAAAAAAAAAAAAAAAATATACTGTAATAAGCTTAAACAAATTTATTTAGATAAATTAGACACATGTGCAACTCTTGGGTATCTTTGTTGAGGAAATGTTTCGCCACACAGTGGCTTCATCAGTCCATACAAAGGAGAATCTTGAAGAACAGGAGGAGAATGAGGTAATCAGTCCCTCAGCCTTTAGTCGATGTGGTCAGTCCATCAATCTTGAATAGAATACGGCATAAGTGTGGAGAAGGAGCTTATAAACCGTAGGCAGGAGAGGTGCAGCAGTCGTAGGTGTTGTCACATTTGTTCAATTTATCAACTTGTCAGTTCTCTGAACCATTGATCTACAATTTTGTCAGACACTGCAACTTCTTGGGATCTTAATACTTGGGAATTCTTTGCTTGCCTAACCCTTGGGCATGACCTACTTCCACATTGAACAAATGTGACAACACCTACGACTGCTGCACCTCTCCTGCCTAAGGTTTATAAGCTCCTTCTCCGCACTTATGCCGTATTCTGTTCAAGATTGATGGACTGACCACATCGACTAAAGGCTGAGGGACTGATACCTCATTCTCCTCCTGTTCTTCAAGATTCTCCTTTGTATGGACTGATGAAGCCACTGTGTGGCGAAACGTTTCCTCAATAAAGATACCCATGAGTTGCACATGTGTCTAATTTATCAACTTGACGGTTCTCTGAACCATTGATCTACAAATTTATTTAGGTTCTGCCAGGTACTAGGGCACCAAACTTTAAAAAGAGACAGTGGCAAGGTTTTAAACTTTTGCTTGATTAATTGTAGGCTCATTTGTGAAGGAAATGGCCACTAAGTTATTAAATCTGAAAAAGTTTTCCTCAAATGATAGAAGGAAGAAACTAATAAAATATAATTAAGACTAGTAACTAACACTAACCATAAATTTCAGTGTAGTTGGCATTATACGCTTTAAAAGAGCAGTGGCCAATAGTGGGTATTTTTCCCTTAGTAAAGCATGCTTTCCAGCCATATCCTTTGAGGCTACATCCTGCACTCCTGCCACCTGAGAGAACATCATATGTTATATAATATAATCAAAACTGTCTTGTCATTCAGACTGTACTATAATTGGTCTGTTCTTTTGATGTTAGTGAGATGCTTTGATCCAAGGAACTGGAGCTACCCTCTAATCAAATCTTTTTACCCCTATGAGTTTAGAGCTTCCCCTTAGTATAATAAGTCTCCCATTATCCAGGCACCACATGGCAACTATGGGTTAGTTTCCCATGAATACGTTAATACTGTACTAAGTATGTTCATGTACTGTACTAGTATACATACATTTTTTATCATGTTTTCTATGAACATGCAAATTTTACTCAATTATTAATTTATTATTTATTGAGTACTGTATATGTCATGCACTAAAAATATTTTATAGGTTAATTACTAATACGTACTGCACATGAATACCGTACAGTAATATAAATAAAATATCCAGCCTGTCTCTAGTTTAATATCTTTATTATGCACCCCATACTCATCCTGGGCCAAAGTTAAAATAAGATTACGGAGGAAGAATTCTGTTCCACTTCCCCATGGAGATTCATAATAAATATGCATACAAAATTGTGGAATATGGTATGTTTAAGATGCAAAACTGCTGCTTGCTATTTCAACAACACTTGACATTTTTGGTGGAAAGTTATAGTTGTGCATATAAGCATGTTTGGGATTCACATGTTGAGGAGGATCTAGTGTACCATAAATTGTGTTGCCCTGTAAAAATTTTTTTTACCAAGGCCAACAAAGTACCTACTGTATAAAACATTCTTATGTTTCCTTCCAAGATCCTCTCCCTTCTGCCTCATAATAAATACATGTACTACAGTAGCTGTATTTTTTTGAATGTTTTACATTCTTCAATGATCCAAGGATTTGGAGTAGGTTCGATCACATTCTTGGATCAAAACTGATTGCCTCCCTTTCCTCAGGTGCTGTATGATATCTATGTACTTCTCCTGAATACAATTATAATTAAGGTACAGTAAGACTCCTAACTGCATACAAGTATTGCCTATTAGGATGAATTTTCACAGCTTACTGCCTATCACTTATTCAAAGATTTAATCTGTTTCATAAATTTTTTTATCACTATATTAGGCTTACTTCAAGTAAGGCATGAAGCCAGCTAGTACTTGCTGCTTTTGGAACCTTACACCAAGTGAGGCTATGCTCTTGATCCACAAACATCTGGTGAAATGTTGACCTGCAAGAGATGTACAGTACACTGTTAATTAAATCTCTAAATTTAGTTGAGACTTATCTCATCTGACATGAGTACAAGCATAAAGTATTTAGAACTGTTTTTATATAAAATGCATTATATTTTTCAACAATGACAACAATGTGTTTTCTTTTCATGTAATATGAGAAACATAATTCATTAAGGCCCTTTTATGGGTAACTTGTGATTTATCACTATTTTGAGGGAAAAATGTAATTCACAGTGCAGTCCTAATTCTTTCTCCAACCTTTAAACATGTGTCCTTTCCCCAAATTATCATCATCTCACCTTTTATTCAGCTGCCAAATTCTCTCAAGCTGGGACTGTGAAAGATCGGTCTTGTCCCTAATTATCTCATCCTTAAGCTTGTCTCCTGTGTGCTTCTGGCCTGACCTGAGGAATTTAGCTTTAGTGGAATATGCGCCCCACGCTGTGCAAACCTCCTTGATCCGAGTCTTCCGCTGTTGAAATGCAACTAGCTGGATTTCTTCGCCCTCACGTAAGATCTGTCAACAGGAAAGAGAATTAGTGCAATGATTACTCTATACTATATGACCAATTTACAGGCAGCAGTTACACCGCAGTACATATTTAGAACTGTATCTTTTACACTCACCGTTGCTAGAGTATATTAGCTGTTGCTCTTGGTTGCATAATAATTTGTGTGAGTGTTTAGTGAAAATTTGTTAAAATAATTTGTGTTGAAGTGTATGCTTCATATATGTATCACATATTAAATTAGGACAATAACAGATAAACACCAAATTAAAAATTAAATCACAGGCTAAGCAGTTCCTTATATTGTTTTTCCTAGAATGCTGGATAAAAAGATACAGCACACCATAATCCATATAGCATATGGAAAATACTGGAGTTAGTCCTAAATCTGCACAATGGAATTACTTCCTACCAATCTTAGACTGGGCCGCAGGGGCAATGACCATCGAACAGTCACAAGCCTACTAACAAGGGGTAACATCACAACCCTACTAACAAGGGGCAACATCACAAGCCTACTAACAAGAGGCTACCCCACAAGCCTACTGATACACTACAGAAACTTACTAACTGAATTATTATTATAATCAAGGGGGAAGCGCTAAACCCAGAGGATTATACAGCGCCTGGGGGGGGGGATGTGGAAGGCATTCAGGCTTAATTCGGGGAACTGGAGCACAGATCCAATTCCCTAAATCAAGAGCCCCTCACCAACATCAAGGAACCTTCCTTGAGGGGTTACTAACTGAAGGTTACATTACAAGCCTACTAACTGACGGCTACATACACAACCCTACTAAATGGAGGCAATATCACAAGCTTACTAAAATATTACACAATCCTACAAACAAGATGCTACATCACAAGCCTACTAACAGAATATACAAACCTACTAGCAGGTTAGACAATTATACTAGCAAGAGGCTAAATAACAATAATAAAATAACAAGCCTACTAACATCCTACACGGTCTACTAATAGGCTACAGCACGATCATTCCAATAGGATGCTATAATCCATTTCTCAGAAGCTATATGACCCTTACAGGTTTAGCGCTTCCCTCTGAATAAAATAAAAACAAAAATTCACTGAGTCATCATATGTTACCCATAGACGTAACACAGCGTATACGGAATATAGGAGGCAACCAGGTTCGTGCCAAGGTACAACGGGTCCAGTTCACTGGACCGAGGGCGTTTTACCGACATCAAGGGACATACCCCCCTCGAGGGGATAATAAAACCTAAATTCCGCTAGAAAGGTTCAGTTTTCCTAGCAAAAAGAAAAAAAGCTTGAATTTATTGCCAGCTTTAGCAAAATTGCCTGGGTAGTGGTCCCTTCACGGAGGGGTGTCTTAATATTGAAGGACTGTTTTAAAGAATTGGAACTACTCTTCCCTTTCTCCCCTGGTGAGGGGCTCTTGATCTAGGGAATTGGATGTGCTTCAGTTCCTTGAGTTGAGTCTGAATACCTTCCATCCCCCTCCCCACAAGCGCTGTATAATCCTATGGGTTTAGCGCTCCCCACGATCATAATTCCCTTCCTCCCCCTCAAGGGAGGTTCCTTGACGCTGGTGAGGGGCTCTTGATCTAGGAAATTGGATCTGTGCTCCGGTTCCCTGAATTGAGCCTGAATGTCTTCCATCCCTCCCCTAGATGCGCTGTATAATCCTACGGGTTTAGCGTTCCTCCATGATTATAACAATCTTCCCTTCCTCGAAACCAACTTCATTATTTGCTATTGTCCAGGCGCTTCCCCATGAATATTATCCTACGAGATGGGTGTGTAGTAATAATAACTGGCCTAATTAGCAGTAATGGTTGTTGGTAATAATGGTGGTGGTAAGGGTATCAACAACGGCTACTTTATTCACTAGCAGGAACAAAGTTGCTCGCCCACTGGAATAAGAAGCTACGTTTGGGTTTGGAATATGTCAAGATGTGAAAACTGGTCAGTCTGAATAGATGAACTGTATAAAAAACGTTGAGAGGTCAGTTATACTGGATACGCCTCGAGGTCTGTCTCAGCACCCTACTACCAGTGTTCTCGGCGTCTCTGGTTCCAGTTTGTGGGCAACACCTGCAATCAATTGATGCTCCGGTTTCCTAATCTGATGGGCTCTGTTAGGGCATATATACACGGAGAGGTGTATCCGTGTATATATACACTAAGAGTTAGCTTTAATTTTTATTTAAGGAATTATGCTGCAGTACATGACACAATGGGTTTAGCTTTGTATTGGGAAAATAATAACTAGGGATTAGAGTATTACTGATGTTAGGGTTCATATGACGTGTAGCCTTCATGTGGGTTCATAATGCAGATAAACCGGTAAGTAAATTACAGTTATGTAGTTTGCTGTGTGATAAGCAAACGGGGGATTGAGCCTTCATACTTCCTTGCACTTAATGACCCACACAAATTTAGCGCTTCACATAAATACAATTTTAAAGGAATGCACAAGTAGTAAACAGTCCTCCTAAAACTTATGTCGACTGCCCATACCGTAACGCCAATAAAAGCGATTAAAAAACTAAACTTTCAAACGTGACCAGAAAAACGGGGATACGCCGAGCAGCATTCAAGTAATCACTATTTTATTCTAGTATCAACGTTACACATCCGACTGTCTTCAGGCAGTGAAATACAGACGTTGCTTAGACTCCCGAAACCTTCCTATGGTGTAGAAATATACTTGGACGAATTTTATTGTGGCTAGCTGGTCCAGTGGCTAACGCGTCGGTCTGGAGTTTTGAGACTGATCGCGGGATCAAACCCCACCCGTGGTATGGTTGCTTAGACTGGCTGCAAACAGAGGGATGTTGCAGAACAGTAATAAAGACTAGTTTCTCACAGATGTGCTCTATGGTTGGCGCTGTATAAAACACATTCGATTTTTACCTCTTTCTTGTGATATAAGATGACCCATCTTGATCTTGATCCGAGTAATAAGAGCTGCCTTACCCTTAGAATCAAACCTGATTACTTTCTATTCATCAGGCCTGATGGCTAAAGCTCTCGCATCACACGGCGAGTGTCTGGGTTCGATTCCAAGCCAGGGTAGAAACATTGGGTGTGCTTCTTTACACCTGTTTATGTTCACCCATTAGTAAAATGGGTACCTGGGAGTTAGTCGGCTGGTGTGGGTCGCATCCTGGGACAGTGACCTAACTTGCTCGAAATGCTCAGCATAACAAGGGGCTTTCCATATAGTAGTATATTATTGATGTCAGCTAGGCCTGTACACCATGTACATGTACTTGTAGAAATAAAGATATTATTATTATGTTCGTATACGCATTTAGCGCCTCAATAAATATAAAATATGTTCCCAGGTCCCCGGGCAAGGGCGCATGCAATGCAATGCCCGCAGGGGGCGGCCAGGAGGAACCTGGCACCACCCCCGCATCCTCAACCAGCAGGTGGAAGCACCGTTACCTTACCCAACACGCAACATAGGCGAGATCCCCAGATAACATTGTTGTAATGGAAGAATACATTAACAGTATCAAGCTCTAAAATACGAAGCCAGCACGAAGTGGCGCAGGTGACATGGGGATGTTTAGATGCACGGAAAAGTAATAAAATGAAATTTTCTCCCTAATCTTTGAATGCTCGTAAGAGTGTACTGATTTTCTGCAAGTAAATAATTCTTTCTCCCTAATCTTTATTCCCCGTGTCTCCGGATGCGCACGAAATCTATATATTTAGGTATCTCTGAAGGGATACTTTTAAGTTGGTGCCTGATTTTTTCCTGTCCAAGGTTTTTGTTTATAACTTGAGAACGCCTCATCCCATATACTTCAGTTTCAGTGTTGGATGTACTGTAATTAGGGAAAGATTTCCGAAACTATTACATGCGCAGGTCAGTGTTATGTAGATCCCAGTGAAAATAAGTCACACTGACTTTATTGGCTCATCCTAATAATAATCTGTGCTTAAAAAAAAAAATAGTAAAAACTACATGTACTATACCCACAGTCTAAAAACAGATTTACTTATTATTTACTCTCTCAGTTTCGGGTTTCCGTGGACTAACCTGATAAGCATTTTCTGATCGGCTTCAAACTTTCAGTACTGATGTAACCTAAAAGACGGTTGCGATTGTTACTGGGTGTGTAGGTGACAGCTTGCCAAATGGATTTTAAAATAGTTCGTTATTTTCTGTAAATATCTTAATACACCTCATCTGAACGATTTCAGTCATTAATGGCTAGTGCATTTTATGAAAAGGACGATACTCTGTAAGTTATAGGATGTACAGGAGAAAATTTACCAGTTTAGAAAGTGAAAAAAAAAAAAAACTTGGAATCGTTGGATTCCATGTGATCACTTTTTTTTCAGACTTCACTATTAACATCGGTGTAGTTTATTCAGTGGAAGGTTTGTCTGTTATTAGGCTGTGTATGCCTCAATTTGCCAATTTTACTAAAACTGTGATACTGATCGTCTTCATTTTATGAAAAGGATAATACGACGCACGTCTAAGCTGTGTAGTTGGTAATTTACCAATTTATTAACATGTTAACGTTGGTTTCTGTGTGATAACTTGAGGAGAATGCCTCTTCTGGCCATCTTCAAACTTCTCTCATTGCAGTGTTTTGCTCAACAGAAGGTTAGCATTGTTACTGCGAGGTTGTGCAAGTTCCAACTTGCCATTATTATTATTATTATTAAACAAACTGTGATATTGCTTTCCATTCCCAAACTGGAGAACGCCTCTTCTGATTGGCATACCTCCTAATTTACTAACATTGTTAATATACTTGGAAATGATAGTTTCAATGCGATAACTGGAGAAAGTTTCTTCTGGTTGGATTTAACTTAAAACATTAGTATGCCTTACTTAGAGAAGATTAAATTTTTTAGTGGTCTTTGTATCTTGCAATTTTCTAATTTAATTAATATTTTTTTAGGAGTATCATTCTCATCTTGGCCACGTAAAAATACATATGTATATATATATACATATACACAAATATACATCCGTACATGCTTACATATGCAT